ATCATCAGAAACGCTCAGTAGCTCAGTTGGAAAAGGAACCTCGAAGGGCCGCACAGACAGACAGGCTGTAGATCAAAACTCTAAAGCTGTGGCGATGCAAGAGTAAAGAGCTCCTTCCCAGGAGTAAGTTGGGTGCAGCACACGAGCCAAGGCCTGGAGTAATGGTTCACTTGTGTAGGCAAAAAAGGCTGGGTTCAGGTGTCTGGTGGAACTGCAGGTGAATTCAATATGAACAGGCACAGCTAAAAGTTATAATGATGACCAATAACTAGGTAGTTCTCAGTTACCAAACTAATCCCAGCAAAGTGTAGCAGTGGTTTTGATACATGAAATTGTATTTCTAAGGTATTTGAAAATGGCAGTATTAAGTTTTTTAGACAGTTGGATGGATTTATTATTTATGGTTATTATTCATTATAGTTTTGTCACATGCCACAGTAAAGTATTTTACAGTGAGATTAAAAGATTTATTAAGAGTGATTCCTGATAAATGTTGATTTTTATTAGGCGGGGTAAATTAGTAGTTGGAAAAAACCTCTGTATGGTCAGGACAATATCCCCAGGTGAGAATGTGGTTTTCCTCAAAGTTCTGGGTACTAATAAGGCACTGAAAGGTAACATTTAGTTTTGTCATTGGTGTCATTAACATCATTTTGTTTTCCCATCCCATCTGAATTCAGAAAGCGCGTGACAGCTCACTGCAACCAGGAATTAGATATGTCACTTTATAATACAACAGATTTTCCAAAGAATTCTCAAAACAAAAGCAAAGTTTATTGAAAACTTCAACATTCCCAACGTCACCCGCCCCATTCACCGCAAAGATCATGTTTTATTATGACTGCAGTGTGTCTTATATACTACTACAAGCTAGAACACCCTGATCCTAATAACTAAATAAATTCTCATAACTGCAATGGAGTTTCCTCCTACCATATGATATAAACTGCCCCAATTTTTTCCTATACATATGGTCATTTTGATCTATATAAATCATGCTCATTCCTTTAATCTCCATCATTTGCAGTTTTGCGTGTTTGACGCAACGCATTATGGGAGATCATCCACTGCGCAGAACCGGGAGGACCCATGGATCTATTATAATAACTGGATAGGGTATTACTAGCTTGCAGCTGAATAACTCATGTGCTCGGGGGATTCTCGCGGTACTGCAGACTAAACCAGACTAAATTCACGTGGGCTACCCAGAAATTTTCCCCATAGAACTCAATGCATATTAAAACAGCTCAACCTCAGCTGACAGAGAACCTACAGCTTTAATAAAGATCGGATTTTGTGGGAATTTTAGTGTCCCTTGTCACCCTGAACTTTTTTTCTTCTTAAATCCTTCGGTTTTGTTTAAATCCACACTTTAGTGCCACAAACTCTGCTCGTCTGGCTCTCGCTCTAACTCCCGCTCTGATGAACTGCTCTGATTGGTCAGAGCGCGGCCGAGCCCCTCTGTGCACGTGCGTGAGACCCGGTGTGAGACCCACACACGCGTGTTTGACGCAACGCATTATGGGAGATCATCCACTGCGCAGAACCGGGAGGACCAGACGATGCCCAAATACAGGCGAGTTTCCCATAGATCTTTGCGAGTTTCCCAAAGTTCTTTGCGAGTTTCCCATAGATCTTTGCGAGTTTCAGGCAACTTCCGCTAATCTTTTCAGCCCCCATGCCGTCACAAAGCGCCACTGAGCACAACCATTCATTTGAATAGGGCGCCATCTTGGATCGCCGGGGCTTGGGAGGACCAGACGATGCCCAAATACAGGCGAGTTTCCCATGGATCTTTGCGAGTTTCCCATGGATCTTTGCGAGTTTCCCATAGATCTTTGCAAGTTCCAGGCGACTTCCGCGAATCTTTCAACCCCCATGCCGTCACAAAGCGCCACTGAGCACAACCCTTCGTTTGAATAGGGCGCCATCTTGGATCGCCAGGGCTTGGCGGTGACATGCTTGCAATACCACCCCGGGCCGATGGGGGTGGACTTAGAAGAAGAATTAGCCAATGCTAACATACAGCATTGGCAGACCTCTCGAAAACGTCTTTACAGGATCGACCAAAAGTTGGCTCATGGCCCAAAGTTCTATGGCATAAACTCACGCTCTCCTATTAGATTTTTCCAGCCCATCGATTGTTTTAATCGCTACAAAAATCACCAATTTCCAACATTTAGAAGGTAAGGTAAAGATTTTTTCATGTAACAAAAAAGCAATGCATTTATTTTCTTTTGGTTTTAGATGTAAACACAGCCGACTGACTATAGAGATATCTCACGTGACGTCACGATGCCTCGAACTCGCGGGGCATCCGCCATACTGGAGGACAAGCAAACGCTGTATGATAGTGGCGTGCACCCGGGACAGCATAAACATGATCAACATTTTTGCCGTTTTTGGCTGCAGCAAAAGGAGAGACAGGGAAAAGAAGTTGTGTTACCGACTGCCAGCCGTCCTTACTTCACACGGCTCCAAAACAGAAGAAATCTCAAAGAAACGAGAGAGAAATGGCACAACCATACGCAACAACAAAAAACTAAAAGCCCCCAGAGCGCCCGAATATGCTCGGATCATTTCATTTCTGTTAAGTAAAATCCATTTGATGGCGGATTTAGTGTTATTCCGAAACAAAAAGAAGTTTAAGGATAAAACATATCTGTCTGACTGCAACGTGGGGTTGCTCCATAGACTGTAGCTTAGCTTGTAGCATAGCTGTTATATATTTGGTCTCACACAGGACCTCACTCGGTTCACAGGGTATCTGACTTACCGAAGGCCAGCAGACATGTGAACGACTGAGCCGTGCACGAGGGTGCCCCGTACTAGTATTTATTAATAAAATATACGGCTCCTCACAGTAGACGCAGAAAGCTCCATTGATTTGAATGTAATCTCATTATTTCCACTGCAGTGTAGCCACACATAGATCCATGGTGTAACAATAAACACATTAAATGTTAATCGGAGAATACATTATACATATACATTCTTAATACACGTGCACAGAGGTTTTCAGAATTTTCTGTTCACGTTTTCATGAAAAAACACTGTTTTAATGCGACAATATGCAGCCGCGGTAAACCTGGATGTAACGATAAACATTAATAATACATTTTAGGATGCATTTCCAGAGGATCTGATTCATGAATTTAGGTTGAGTATATATTTGGGTCACTAACTGCTGAAGTTTCAAATTCTCTGTTCAGTTTTCATGTAGTTCGAGAGAGTTCTAGTTTTGAACGTCCAGTTATAGATAGCTAGCAGGGCTGTTACTCGCCGAGGTTGTCCTCCAGTATGGCTGCCGTGGCTGCTAGTCACGTGACCGTAGGATCCCTCTATAGAGCTACACGCAGCTTATGCTACTTACGAGGATCGAATGCTTACACGCAAGCTTTATAAACTTTCCCAAAGCTGTACTTTGGACATATTTGTCTGGTGTGGAGCTTCTGAATGTAGAGAAGGCCAAATACCTGGGGCACGTAATCAGGAGTGACCTCAGTGATGACAATGACATTCAGAGGCAGCACTGTAAGCTGTATGGACAGGCTAACACTTAAGCACAGAGATTTCACATGTGTACAGATGAAGTGAAAATAACTTTGTTTAAAGCCTTCTGCACACCTTTCCTTTGGGCAAGTTTATAAAGCTCGCGTGTAAGCATTCGATTCTCGTAAGTAGCATAAGCTGCGTGTAGCTCTATAGTTAGTCGGTTGTATTTACATCTAAAACCACAAGAAAATAAACGCATTGCTTTTTTGTTACATGAAAAAATCTTTTCCTTAGCTTCTAAATGTTTGAAATTGGTGATTTTTGTAGCGATTAAAACAATCGATGGGCTGGAAAAACAAGAGACAGATCACGCTCGCAACAGGTAATCTAATAGGACAGCGTGATTTTATGGCAACTTTTTTGAGAATACTACCCACAATGCCGTGCGGTCGAGCCGGAAGCTCGGAACTCTTGAGTCCTGTATTGGTGAGACATGTGGGAACACCTTTGAAGTCTGCATCTGGAAGCGTGCGTAAAGGCAGGGAGAGAGACGCTCTACGAGCAGAGCATATATTGTATGCATTTACAATCATAAAAAATGAACTTTGAAAAAAATCACACAGATTAGTAACTTATAAGTACCACAACAAAAAAATATGGTTTTTATGATGATGAAATGTCTGTAAAGCAATTTGGCAAAAAGTCTGAAACTTTAGACAGGTGTTGCCAGCAACACAATGACCATAGGGTTTGAATATTGTGAACTTACAATGAAGCATGCCTTTTTTAGGGCCTTTACAAATTGAAAATTTTAGGCGAGGCTAAAAAAAATAGTTTTTTTTCCCAAACTTCAAAGGATGCAGAGTGAAATAGGAATGACATACATTATTTCAGTGTATATTTACATAAACTAGAAGGCTCTAGCTTTAATATGATGCATCACACAAGCATGTGAGATGTAAGATGTGTTTTTAAATAAGCAAAGACATTTGGGTATGCCCAACTTTTGTGGACAAGCCTAAATGAGGCGGCTGTTAAGAGGTTAAGTGCAGTGACTTCTGGTGAAAGGTCTTCTACCTACTTCTACCTACTAATCATTGAGAGATGATGATGTGACCAAAAAACACCGACTTATAAATGTGTCTGTCTGATCAAGAACTGGATTGAACAGGTTTAATCAGGTCTTTCTAGGGCAATTCAACCAAGAAATTGACCTTAAAAGTTCTTCCGAGGTGAGATGGAATAACTTTTTCCATTTCACTTGGAAAATACCAACGGTATTAGTACTCATGGTGCACATCTGTACTCAACTACTGCGTTTCCCATACTATGCTGATTGGATGATGTATGTAAACATGCTTTGGCTGACAGAGCAGCTCTGTACATTATCATGTGTGAAAGTGTTCGGGGAGTGGAGAGCGAGGGGAAGCCAGCAGACAGCCTGGCTCCTCCTGTGTGTGTACGTCCCTGTTTAGAATCAGACGGTAATTGACTCTTTATCATCATTACGATCCCACAGCCAAAGAGCGAGACTCGTAATCCCCCTTGTTTTCAAAGGAGAAATTCCACCAGAGGATTGCCACATATTTGGGTCGAGTTTCCACGGAAGCGATGGAACGTGTTATTAGGCCCGAACGCCACGAGCTGGAGAAGGGCCTCTGCTCTCCTATGAGAGCCAATGACGGTCAATGGGGAGAGTCAATTCAAAAGTTATGTGTTTGTTAGTGACCCGGAACCCTCACCATGCTTTATGGGGGAAAATTTATTGTTTATGGGATAAAAAAAAGGGGGAACATTGTTCTTATTTCAGTCTCCAGATTATTATCTTTTAATCAGCTTTTTTCCAGTTCTCACACAGCCTCACATCATATCATATGATGGTAAGATAAATTCACACGTTTAAGGGTGAAAACACACAGGCAGATCAAGGGCGTGATAGTGTCCCTGCTAACAGTTGCGCGGCATGGTTAAATATGATGCTCCTTTCACCTTATGTAGTGTTTTGTTGCTACTGGTCGAAGGCTTGAGCAAAATAAATATTAGACTAGCATCATATGTCCAGACCATTGCATTCTATGATGTGTTGTTTATGGAGCTTGAACAACACCCAGACATTACTCTCAATGTCGACACTTAGATGCCTATACTCCTACAGTAGTTCTCACTTCGGCCAAAACAGAGACACAGGTCTGTGGCTGAGGGCAATTATTGTTTCTTGATTTTGTCGTTCTCCTTCTCCAGAAGCTATTAGCGCTTGTGGAGGGTGTGCAGCACTCAGTAAACAACAAACAGTAGTGGTTTAACTGTTTAACCAAAGATAACTTCATGATGAATTACTGAGGAAAACTTTTATAGACCTCACACACACAGACAGACAGATTCTAAAACTTTAAGTCAGTACCATGACCAATCAAAACATTATCTATAAAAACAAACATTCAGCACATAGTGGTAGTTTCTTGAGTAGTTGTCAGCCACAGGGCAAGTTAGACAAAGTTAAACAAAAACCTCTAAGATGCAAGTACAAAAGTATAAATTCTTAAATTAGCAGATTATATTAAGTTTCAAGCAGTGGGGTCGGGTACCGGCTCAAAAGTGGCCTTAAATGACGTGCGCTGACATGCTTGCAATACCAACCCGGGCCAATGGGGGTGGACCAGGAATAAGAATTAGCCAATACTAACATATAGCATCTTCTTGCCTCTCGAAAACGCCTTTACAGGATGGTCCAAAAGTTGGCTCTTGACCCAAAGCTTCGTTCCACATGTGTGTCAATGCTGAGGGGAGTGAATTTCTTTGGACCACTCTAGTTTAGTTGCTGTGAACTTTTGAAGGCACTCGTTAAATGAATGGGGCTCACGCCGGCTGACGCATGCGCAGATGCGTTTATTCACAATTGTCTTATGGGCGGGACCACTCGCGGCCATTTTGGATAGCTCCAGTAGAGCACAATGTGTGGCCCAATTGTTTGAACGGCGGAGATAGGCGTGACTACGTCCGTTACTATTTATAGTCTATGGTTTCAAGCAGTATATTTTTCATCAAATTTATTTACAGATTTTTTGATCACACTGTACACTTTGGACCAGACCACTGCTAAAAGAAGTACCAGGTCAACAAAGAGATGACCTATGGACATGGAATATTGTGTTAGTGCTCTGCACGGGCCTATTATCTGGGCCCGTGCAGGTATCAAGGCCAATTTCTTTTTCTCCCATAACGTTTTAGAGTAGTATAGTGCCGCATATAGTGATATGAACACAGGCCCGGCTAGAGGGCGGACATAGTAGTGATGTGTTTCAATGAGTTCTGTGTGTACGGCTAGAGTGAACGGCAGTGTGATAGAACGATATATTCATTGGGTGCGTTCGTAAATGTAAACTGCCGCTCTGAAAATGAATAAATAAAAGTGCCCAAGCCGGTCCGTGTCCGAGGTAGTTATTCGGTCATCGGGCTGTCGGGCCCCTCGTGCCTAGGGCTCAAGTGCAGGGCTCTATACTGTGTTATATAAACTTCAAACAATAGATAAATAATAGTTTTTACTGACCAACAGCTTCTTCCGGAGTCCAGTATCCAGAAGTGTCACAGACTCTCGGAGAAGTTGCTTCAATCGCATACTGATGAAACACACCATTGCTCTCGCAAAGTCCACAGTCTATTCCTGAAAAAACAGAAGTGGAGCTGCAAGAGGAAAATGTGTTATTTGCATCCATTAAGTGCAATAATCTTCACACCAGAAATAGATGTAATAACCTTCGATAGAGTGGTCCACTTAGAGGGGCTAACCAATAGAGTGACACAGATCTTGGAGTCTGGGCTGTAATTATGGGGGCCAGAGGGACAGGTGAAGGCTGCTGAGTCATGAGCCACTTCTGATAGACCAGGTCAAGGTAACAGTGCATCCGAGCTACTTGGTTTGGTGTGAAGTGGTTGGTGCAGTTGTCATCTAAGGTAAACAAGAAATATATTGCATTTTAATGTTCATGACCAATAATATAAATGTTCAATGATGGATATGGAAAGAAACAGGAGCAGTTATCTTTGAAGAAATTCTTGTTGTAGTGGGCTTAAAACTAACGGTTTTTTGTTCTGGATGTTTATTGAAAGTGAAATAGATCCTTGGGTAAATTTCCAAAATTATTTACAGGCTATCTTATTCTAAAACTTACTGTATGCATATAAAGTAATTTAAAAAAAAAAAATAGATCCACAAATGTGCATTGAGGCAACCCATAGATTTCAAATGAAAAAGTGCAGGATGAGAGAACACTAAAAGGGACACTAAAATGTCCCACTAAACCCAACCTTTGAGAAAGCTGAAGGGCTATGACAGCAGGGCTCGAGCTGTTTTTGTTAACATCAAGCCACTATATAAACAGTACACAGGTTGAAGCAGCACTTGCCTGTGTAGCTCATGTAATTGCTGTAAGGAGTATCGTGATAGTTGGTGACTCCACAGGTGTCGTTCACAGCTCCTGGATCATGGCAGACCTTGGACTTTGGGGTGGGGGCAGTGTCAGCGCACAGGTCTCCAGTCTCCATGGAAGGGGTGGTCTCCTAAACATGACCCAAGTAACATTTTTACAACAATCAATGTAGAATATCAATATAATCACTTCATATAGATATATACCTGACATGGATCATCACATGAGTCACGCTCACTGACACCTTTGAAAACGTGATAAAGGCCAAAGATGTGCCCCATCTCATGGATCATGGTGTTGTGGTGCCCGTTTGTCCCAAAGTACGATGGATTCAACACCATGCCACCTGCAAAAGAAAGATATTGATAGATGTGTTAAGATTCTAATAGATTTCACATAAATGGAACCAAAAACAAAACAAAGTATATATATATATATATATATATATATATATATATATATATATATATATATATATATATATATATATATATATATATATATATATATATATATATAGAGAGAGAGAACCCTCAAGCTCCCAGGCCTCTGGTAGAGGACCCGAGCTTAGAGAGGGATAACCGCCCGCGGAAGGCGAAAGGTGAGAATTATTATTTTTTTATATATATATATATACATACATTTGTTAGAACCCTCAAAACATAGATAAACGTCTTCTTGTGGTGAAGTAATTATGATACTACCAGGAAAGTACATAATCAATTCATGAGCTATTGCTTCTTAATTTGAAACATACTGGCCACAGGAAAGTACAACTAAACTGCACTAAATTGTAACCTGTGGGCACATTTTTCAAATTAGGAAACCAAGTAAGAAACCCAAGATAAAAATCACATCCCTTCCACATTGGCAAATTACAAAAAGTTAGTCTCATCTTGAATAAAGAGTTGTAAATGTTGAGTAAGAGCAGGCAGGTTGTAACATCAGTTCAGTTGTTGTGTTGTTGCTGTTGGTTTGAAAGCGATTTTTCCAGTGAACATGACTTTTAATGATTAAAGCAGGAAACAGGCAAAGTGCAGGAAACATCTATGCCAGCTCTAGTGCTCCAAATCTTACTTGGTAAATAATATACGTATGTTTCAAGATTAAAATTGAACATATACAAAATACATGGAGCTTCAGAAATTGTTGGACTTTATTGTATTCTAACTTTAACACCAATACTTTCACATCTACTGCAAATTAATGTTGGTTATTGATATCTGTATTGGCCTTGAAAAAACATATCGGTTGACCTCGACCACAGGAAGTGTGTGCACATGGGTTTATTCATTTATATTTTTTGGTTGACAAACTTGTTTATAAATGAGCTGTGGATAGTCAATTATGCAAATATGCATATGTTTTTAGCTGGTATTACACAGATTATGAATTCTGTCTGATCATCAAAATCCATGAAAGCAAACCAAGTTATTCACCTCTGATAATCTACTTTTTTTATTCCCTGGAAAATTAATGCAACAAAATACAAACAAACAAAAACAAGATGAACAACTTACCTTGGTGGGTGAGGGCTTCCTTCGCCCATGGCCAGGTCGCTGCTCCAGCCAGCTCTTCACGCACAGAGTTGTTGGCAAAAAAGACATTTAGAGCGTCAGAGCCACTAAGCCCAAGTTCATCCTTCAGCTCTTTAATGCTCATATACGCTCTGAAAACCAAAACATTTCACCACAGTATTAAAGGATCAGCATGTAGTCTGTGCTCTTTCTGTTTAATTCAGCCATTACAAACACCATCCAAACATTTTGCAGTGTCTTATCTGCATGTTAGGTAAATACCTGCTCCTCCTGGAGCCTCATTTATAAAGTCTGCATTCGCACTACGTATTGTGTGGTCCATGGAATAAACTTGGTGGTACACTGGTACGTACAGGGGTTTGCGTAACTGTGCGCAAACTGAGATCCTCCCATAGACTGTGAATAAAGTCTGGAGACACGTAGACGACATAAAATAAAATGTAAAACAAGTGCTGCAACTCAGTGCACTACAATTTCACATGATTTTATGTTTGAATTAACTGATTAATCGAGACAATAATTGTAATTGAAGATCTTTATAGTCTAAGAAATTGTTTCAATTAGATAATTTTTTTTGTCTTAATTCATAACCTATATTCATATTTTCATTTGTAAGCAGCAGTTACTGGCGGTGACTGGCTGTATAATTTTCTCTCATTATTGTCTTTTTGGAGCGCTCTGTGAAAAAGCTCAGTTTAATAAGCATCATGTTCATGCATCCGTGCATGAACATGACAAAGAGCGAACCTCACAGGCCAAAATAAAGCAATATTAGTTATCATTGGTGCATTGTAGCCCTTGTCTTTACTTGTCTTTTAGAGGTTGAATACGCTAAAGAAGTAATTAATCTCTACTTTCCTATTACAAAATAAAATGATTGAAGATGCTTTCCACAAAATAAGAAAAACATGCACTTCAGAGGAGCTTCAGTTCCTGCAGAATACAACCAGAGCCCTCTCCACTGGGTAAAGGAGATGATAATGCTTTGGGGAATCCCTCCTACCCCATTAATAGGACTATAGGTTCAGCTAAGGTTACAAAGACCTATCCAAATTGAGATCACATGAGAGGTTTACAACATATAAGTTATTGCCAGAAGAGCAGCAGTTAAATGATATTCTCTTTAAAATCTAAACACCTGGCAGAGAAATCAGGAGACAAATAAAACCCAGATGACCAAACATTACAACAGATCAATGGTTTCACAAATGCCAGCAAATGTCATCCTCACGTTAATCTTTCTGCTTGATAAACCAGTGAGCTTGGAGCCAGGGTCAAACACATAATTCAAAAAGATCTTCCAGGTGACCCAGCTCTATGTCTATATATGTGGTCACTTATGACCTCTTGAGCATACAGTATAGGCCCATATGCGATTATTGAAAATAGACAATTAAATTAGGGCGACAGTGGCTCAGTTGGTAGAGCATTGGCCTTTGGGCCTACCTACTCCACGACTCCCACTGATATCTGCTGTTGTTGTGTCCTTGGGCAAGACACTTAACCCCATTTTGCCTGAAGCCCCCGCTGAAAGATCAAGGCTCCTGTGGACTCACCACCTGCAGGAGGATCAGTGAGGGGCTGGTGCTATATGTACTGGGTGCAGCTCTGACTGCCACCCCCCGACCCAGAGATGGATTAAGGGGAAGAAAATGGATGGATGAATGAATTAAATTGTTCATTAGAGCACCATCCTGTTTCATAATTATTCATCAAAGTTGCAAAAGTGTATCAATTATTGCCTAGAATGAGTATGGTGAATGGTTGGGGGTGGTTGGAGGGGCCATTAGCACGTACTGGTTGCCCCGCTTCTGTCAGTGTGCTCCAGGGCAGCTGTGGCTACAATAGTAGTCTATCACCACTGTGTATGGAGTGAATAAATAATGCCATGTGGCGTGTCTTTGAGTGTCCAAAATGTGCTAAATAACCTAGTAATCCATTTGTATTTCAAAGCCTTCAGAAAGGTTGCTTCAGTTGCTTTCATGGAGGTCTAAATTTAGAATACGGACTTTACAGCTGCAGCCAATATCTATATTTTACTACTCCCTCTCAACCTTATTCCCCTGTCACCATTTTGCTGTATGAGCATTCAAACTGTCCCTCTAATAAACAGATAGAGTTCCCTTCTCTTGTTTCACTGTGGCACATTGCAGAGCTTGTGGGTACAAGAAGGATTAAAAGTAACTTTTTAGAAAGTTGGGCCGACGACCTCATGGCGAGACTTCATGCAAACTATTTAAGGCTCTGCGGGGGCCTGTCTGTCATTGCAAATGGAAGGCAGCGGGCCGCCACTCGAGATATTTAGTAAAAAATAAATGTGTACTTTGGCCTTTTAACCCAACATCCCCACTTCACAGGGCTCTGGCTGTAAACTACTGGGGAAAGTGAGAGTGCCAATTTGTCCATGTAGCTGGTTGAGCTGTTCATTGCACGACTTCAAGCCAGATATGCACCTCATGTGGAGAAATCTTCTTATTAGTGGGATTCTGTGCCCAAATTTACGAAATCAAAAATGAACTACAAAAACATGTTTTCATAACTGTGTCTGGGTATGATCTTGTGCTGCATACACTGTCTGGAAATAAAAGACCCCAGACAGAAGACTACATTTGAAATGAATTGTCTATAAATCACCTTGATCTAATGGTTATAGTTTTCACAACTGAGCAAACTTTGCACTTTTGCAGGTGCTCAATAGAAATTGAAACTTCCTTTTGCACGAAAATCAGCAGGAGGGGTGGTGACAGTTTTGTTAAAAGATCAAACAAACAGTGTTGCAGGAAATTGGGGAATTTGCAAATTGGACCAGCGTTGTGAGGATGTAGATGAAAGAACTATTACTGAACTGATGAAATCCATGTACCAGATTTACAAGGTGACAAATCACAATTTAGTTTTCAGTAGAAGAAACTTTAATCTAACGCTATAGCCATTAGAGAGAACAGGAAGGCTGCATTTAAAAGGTGAATGAGGAAAGTGGCAACACGTGAGAGTGTGACGCAGGGCAGACTGCAGCCATGAGAACAATCACATTTGTAACCTTGGATGGGAGAAGCAAAACTTTGTGAGTATATCAATAAAAGAGAGGTGGTTCTTACCGGTCTGAAGACTCCGGGTCAAAGCAAGTCTTCAGCACATCTGTCACTCCTGGCTCACAACAGTCTCCGTCATCGTAGTCGTAATAGATGCTGTTGCACTCCATGTTACAGACGTCGTCTTGCCTTTTCCAGCTGTAGCACGGCCCCAGCCTCAGACAGTCCCCACCATCATGGCCTGTTCTGGGATGGTCACATTCAGGATCACACTGCCGATTTCCAATCTTCTCAATCCGACAGTTGCTCAGAATGAACTTTTCCCGAAGACTGGAGTTACGGACTGTATGTACATCGAGCTCCAAAGTGATGTTATACGGTTCAAAGGCTTCAACGACCGCTTTATGCTGCAGCTCAATCTGGGACTTTGACACAGTTGGATTTCCACCGTCATCATCGGCGAGGTTAACAATTCTATACCGAATGTGTTTGGAGCTACGGAGTCGCCAGTTATCGTTGTATCCAGAGATAATGTCTGTGTTGTCGCAAGGTGTAAGTCCACATGGAGGGGGGTCAAACGGGGACACAAGCTCTTGCTCTGGAATCGGAGTGGTGACAATGCTTGGATGGAAACCAAATTTGTATGGAATCCACAGTTGCTCAACCTAAGATCAAAACATAATTGGAACTATTTGTTAAATGATATGTTTAGAGGCTGCACTGCAAAAAGTGATGTACAATAAGTCTCAAATTGTTCAAATTTGGCATAATGTTTGTTAATTTGAGCACATTTTGACTGCTTTAAAACAAGATTTGCCAATGGGAAAAACACAAATATCTTGTTTTAAAAAGATACAAGAGATGTCTCCCTTGGAATGAGAAACAGTATGCAAAAGCTATTGAAATAAGACTAAATGGCTCTGTCCCATTGACAAATCGTGTTTTAAGACGATCAGAATGTACTCAAATTACGATAAAAACCACTCGATTCAAGCAATTATTTTATAATTTTTTGTAGTGTGAAATCAGTTCTTTGTGATTGTTTCTATCTTATTCTGTTCGGCACTTTGAGTTGCCTTGTATATAAGTTGTGCAATACACATAAACTTGCCTTGCCTTCTTTCTGCTACACTTAGGCAGCAATTGCTAACTCTCTGGATTGTGCTTGTGTTTGCTCTATGTGACAATTACAGATAGAATGTATCGAGCAGAAGTTAAGAAACATATATCCTAACTTACATTGGTGAAGTCAGCCCACATGGCCAGTAGAGGGTCACTTTTATCAATGTCCTGTGGTCGATGCATTAGGTCTTCTTGAGTCCTGGCGTAGTCCCACAGGATCAGGCCTCCTACATGTCCCCTGAAGCTATGACTCTTGTCTGATTGGTTGCTGCCAATAAAAAAGGTTCTGCAGGTCTTCATGAATGAGCTGTAGAGATTACCTGATTGGAAACTGCTCTCCCCCACCTGCAAGAGCGTTAGTCAAAACACATGATAAGAATAAGAAGGTACCATATGTTCAATTCAATTCCAATCAATTCAATTCAATGTATTCTTGTATAACCCTAAATCACAACAGTAGTTATCTCAGAGGACTCTCAGAGGACAAAACCGTTGAGTTCGCCAACACAGATCAGAGAATCAAACCGTTCATAGACAAAACATATAGAACACATATGTATTGGTCCACAGGGGGGAGTTGACCAATGTCCATGAGTGTTGATAAATGTCCATAAATGACTGGATAACATGAAATTGATTCTATGATAATTCATGCACACAAAAGTAAAAGTGTGCAATAGAATCGAACTAAAAAGTATAAAATGTAAGCAATATGTCTCAGTAATTAAAATAAGTAGCAAATAAAATAATATTGATCTATTACGTGAAATAAGAGTTTGATCCAGCTTGAAAGTAAAAGTAAAAACCAATAAATTGTGCTCCATATTTTCGGCAGTACATTCTTGTACTGCCAAAGATTCATAATTAATGTAACCAGGAGAGTGCATTTGAGATTGACAAATCTCTTTTTCAGGGGAGTCCTGGCCCCAGAGAGGGGCGAGGGGGGGAGGGGGGTGGAATGGTGTCGGGGAGGGTGTTATGGGACTGACTGAGGAAAAACATGCAAACTCCACACAGAAATGTCTGGAGGTGGATTTGAACTCAGGACACCGTGCCATATACACATATACTGACCTTAGCTCCGTCCACATACAGGGTCATGTTGTGGCCATTGTATGAAGCCATGAGATGTGTCCAGGCGTTGCCATGGTAGCGCTGGTGGCTGTAGACCGTGGTGGATTTGACCGCTCTGTCCGTGCACAGGCTGAAGTAGAAACGGGCATCTTTGGTGCTGCCTGGCTCCAGCGTCTGGATGCCCACAGACCAGCCCTTCTCACTCAGAGAATGGGAGCAGTTGTCAAATAGGCCTAGGGAATAATGGCAGGCGATTGTTACAGGATGCTCTTGGATTTTAATGTGGGCAAAGGAAATAATAAAGGGATATTCATTCCCAAGCTTTGAATTTTGTTATGACTGTTAGTTTGACTTTCTGTTAATGCTAGGGTACACGCCATGAAAATTGTAACGGTTTTGATTATTGTCTGGTATGACTTATTTTCACCTCGTTTGGTATCTGTCACATCATTTATCAAAACATGCTATCTATTTCATTTATTGTCTATACCTAATCAATTTAATATATAGTTTAGTATTGATTAATATCTGTTTTTCAAAGTAGTATGAAGTAGCACTATATTGTAAATTTCTCCATTGTGAGATCAATAAAGTCTATAATATCTTATCTTATCATGCAAAACTTACAGCATCGAAAGGGCAACATCCTCCAGAGAGATAGAACACAGTGAGTATAGGCGGGGATAACAAGGGACACCTGAGCGTCAGGGAGCAATAAAGAAATAAGCATGTGTTGTGTTCCACCGTGGAATGTGTGGTTGATGTTGATTTTATTGAGATGCTGCTGAACAAAGTGACAGAATATTCTAGAGAAAAGACAGAGTTGTTTCTCACAGCCGTGGAAAGGACTTGTGTTTCCATCTGCTCTTGCAACAGACCACTTCACATCTGCCTCCCAGATGTGTGGACCGGGACAGCACAGGGTCAGGGAACCCCTTCACCCACCGCGCCGCAATGTTATGTGTGTTTGAGTGTTCAACATAAATATGGGAAAGTGGAGCAAAATATGTAGCACCAGGAGCCGTTTTCATGGTCTTTGAAGCACTAAAGAAGAGCACCAGTTAGGAAACCTCACCTGTGCCAAATGAAATACATTACACTCTGCTAATTACTGTATAGCTACTAAATGTAACCACATGGATTTCATGGATCTGTCATAAATCTGCATTCAACAAAAGGCCTAAAAGGGCCTCAATGTCAAGGAAACTGACAAATTTACTGACACTTGTATTTCATGACACAGAACACAATATTGTGATTTTTTTACACCGATTTCAGTAAAAACAGAAACCATCTAAATTTTCACAACATGTCTCTCAATAGGGAGACCCTGGGTTCAACTCCCACTTGAGCCCTTTCTGAGTATAGTTTGCTTGTTCTCCTATATGATTTCACTAGTTTAGTTTCTCCTAAAAAAATTGAATAGATCATTATCTGATTGAAGCATTACGATTTCAAAGAACAAATACCGGTTCTTTGAAATCGTACTGTTGTGAGTGCAGTACGGTTGATCACAATTTGACTTGCCATGGGCCATGTTTTAGGCCTTTAAGGAAACATATTTACGACTACCACTACCAACAATGATCATTGGTTGTTTGTGTATTTTTCCAAAATGAACAATGGAGGCATTGCACCAATGAACCATTTGCCAATACATTTTAATAAATAGTGTCCTGTCCATGTTGCAAATATAACAATATAGGTTTTGTTTTTTTTCAACCCCCCCCCCCCCCCCCAAAAAAAACACTGACACTGGACACATTGGTATATGCTACATTTCTAACAACCAAAAGAAAATGGGGACACGATTTGTGTTTCACGCACCTGCAATGACCGCAGGGTTGCTCTGACCTCCTTCAGGCTTCACCCACAGCTCCAAACTGAACTGAGCCCTGGGAAGCTCCAGCTCAGCCTCCGGCCTGAGTCTCAGTTGCTCTTTGCCTCCGCGGAAATACAAGGCAGTCATCCAGGACGGAGGCGCACGGGGAACCAGACTGGCCCAGGAGGAGCTCCCCCTGCCGCTGTTGTGAAGAGCGGGCCGCACGGATGCACCCAGCTCCTCTTCCTCAACTTCTCCGGAGAAGAGTTCTTCATCGCCCGCGTCATGAGAGGGTTGTACGTCTCCTTTCACACTGTAGAGTGGAGCAGAGACCGTGGTGCTCCGGGGATGCGCTCTGCCCCAGCTGGAGTTCAGCTCCTCTTCGTGCTGAAGGCTGCGTGTGAAGCGAGAGGACGGAGCACTCTGGTCTGAGACAAAGCGCTCGTACTTTGATTTGTCTGAGTTACCGTTCGGTGTCCTGTCACGTTCTCGTTGAGATCCGCTGTCACCCCCACAGTGCCCGGTGCACACTGGAGCGCCTATGGAGCTGTGCGTGCGGCTGACCCGGACGCGCACCGCTGGAGGGCGGTGTTGGGACGGGGAGGATGAGGAGGATGAGGAGGAGAGGGAGCGGGGCTGTCGCCGGGACTCCCAGACGACAGCAGCTGCGCACGGTTCACCTGTTTGACTGGAAAGTTCTCTGTCTGCACGCCTCGCCAAAGCGCGCTTGTAGCGGCTGAACCCCTCAGCGCGAACAGGATTTAACAGCCGCGTATTTGTCACAATGACCAGAGATATGGTCAACAGTCTCAATAACAACATGTTTATTTGTTTGTTTTCCAACTGCAATGGCTGTATTTCCGAGATGAAAATCAATAGTTTCCACTAGTCCATTAGGGCCATGTGCGGAAATATTTGGCCTACATCAATCAATTTTACAAGTCTTTTACTTTGCGACAATCGTCAATACTGATCTTCAAGCACAATGTGAGATTACATTATATGTCAATGTAAACATTTGAAATGGACACGTAAAGAGAGATTTTGTAGAAAGCATTGGCCCCAGTGTCTCTTGCCGCGCATGCAGATCGTCTGCACTTTACAGTCTTTGTGTACAACTTTACAGCTGAGTTAAAAGAGTCTATATGTAAGATATCTTAATGACCACGTTCGTTGTTTATATTGCGCATATATATAATTAAACTAATCTAGCTTGTAATGACGCCTCTATTACCTGATAAATGAAGCATCAAAAGATGCGTCTTGCTTCAAAAATGTCTGCAATAAAAGTAAATCTCAGGAAAAGTCAATTCCAAACGCAGTCAAGAATAAATCCAAGGAAATTGAGTTTGAAAGTAGACCTATTATAAGAGCTATTTGACCCTTAGTTGTGCGTCCTCGTTACAGTGCGCGCCTCAAAGTGACTGGCTGATACACCGGTCCATGCAGTAGTAATATCCTCCTCCATTCACTCTTCAATCTCCCCCTCTCTCTCTTTCTGCAGAGTCCAGAGACTTTTTTTTTTTAAGTCAGGGAGCCCCTGCCTATAACTGCACCGGTGCGAAGGAAGTGATGGGCTGGAGGTGGAGTGAGTGAAGGTGGGTCAGTGATGCAAAGAACTGGCTGAAACACTCTGTCTGCGTACTCAAGTACTCACGCCTATAAAAAGAGGGAAACTCAAAGTTTCATGCACATAAATAATAATGCATTTATAATACATGTGCATGAAGATATTTTTGGTCACATCTCTAAAGGATTATGGGAGAGACAAATATTTGGTGAGATTCTGCAAGAATGATCTGTGATAGTAATGTCATTGGTGGATATTGGCTGGCTGATGTGGAAGTGCATTTGTTTATTCCCATAAATTATTGTTGTTAACCCTTTCAAAGTGAAAGAGGTAAGTTCCCAGGGGCCCCCTGTTCCCCCTCTTGTGTTGAACTATCTCACAACTCCCTCAGCTTTGGCTCTCCTCACGGACTGCCACATCTGCCCAGCACATGATTTTCTTTTATTTTTTATCATCCTATAGTTTGCTACCTGCTTTGGGCTGCACTTCACTGCTCATGTGGGCCCAAAAAAAATAATCCTGTAAGGGAAAACGGTAGGCAAAAAGGGGTGAAGAGAAGGAGCAAGTAGTGCATTATATAACTAGAGGTAAAAGACATGTAAGAGAGCCAATGATTTACATGGGCATACTCATTTATGAATAAATACGTAGATACAAAAGAGGGTGAAGAGAAGGAGCAAGTAGTGCATTATATAACTAGAGGTAAAAGACATGTAAGAGAGCCAATGATTTACATGGGCATACTCATTTATGAATAAATACGTAGATACATTATATAACTAGAGGTAAAAGACATGTAAGAGAGCCAATGATTTACTCATTTATGAATAAATACGTAGATACAAAAAGAAAAGCATGTTATTTATAGCAAATTAGGATCCTACGAGTAAATTATTTTACTGTCTGTGACAGTTTTGATTTAGAGAAGAGAGAGCTTTTTTGACAAAAGTCAAAAAAACATCAAAATGGACTTGGACTTGTCCAACACCTTCTGACACCCCGATGTTTTTGTCAGACTCTCATGCAGCCGAGCCTTGGTTGTAGAGATGGAGATGCCGGAGGAGGCCACTGGCAGTTATAGCAGGGGCCCCTGAAGGGGCAAAAAACGGTTCCTAAAGAGTGGGAGGCAGGAATTCCACAATCCAGGCCGCCTGACTGAGGATCTGCCTGTACAACATTCAGTTTTTCTGCTGGCAAAGAGCCTCTTTGAAATCCAGCTGCAACTGTGTTAGAAAAAAGGAAACAAGGGAAGGGGAGGGTTTGTGAGAAAGAAACCAAACGGAAGGGAAAGGGGGATGAAGGAGAAGAGACCGAGCACAAAGAGTCTGCAGTGGCCTGTGCACTGGGCTCTGAATGGGCCTCACCCCCCACTGTACAGGAGCTCCACAGATTATCCCTCATGTGAGCGTGTGGGTTCTGACCTCACCAACCCCGGACCTGCCGCTCTTCACTCTCTCAAGAACTCGCTCACACTCACATCTCTGTGACATCTGCCACTCCAATCCCTCTACAGGATGTGCGCCTCCTCTTGAAGGGAGAGACAGCAGGTCTCTGCTCATGTGAAGGACAGCATTTGCAGAGAGGGACGAGTAGGCCGCTTTTCACAGAAGCAAAACGCAAAGGGGGTCAAGGGGGGCAAATAGAACTATGGCAGGTGGTGTGGTTCCCAGAGGGAAATTAAGGCCTAAAATGACATATTGCTGTGTCAGGGGTGGAGACAAGATCTCCACCTTGAATTTTCCTAAATAAATTAAATATATTCTTGAAAGAGAAAAGATAAGATACTTCTTTATTGTCTCCCTAGGAGAAGTTCATCTTGAGACAGGTTTTCACAACGTACATTTGCATACACCACAGTAGACACAGACAAGAGCACCATCAGAGAGCTGTAGCACCATAAACAAACAGGACATCAAAACAGAGATCACCCCACACCCCACAGAAAGTCAGTGCAGTATGTCATTGCACTTGCCAAAAGCTTAAGTGCTACTTTATTGCACTCACCTAAGCCCAGTATATTATTGCACATATACTAAGCCTAGAGTGCAGTCCTTATTGTACTTACCCTAGTAAGGTGCTTCCACTGTTGTTTAACCTATTTTGTGCTTGAGCTCTCGAAGTTTATGAAAATAAAAGCCAATGGTACGAATGAATATTTAAATCTTCTTGATTCATAGTTGTGAACTCTTTACCTTCTCCCTGATGGCAGCAATTCAAAGTGACTGTGAAGAGTGTGGGAGTTAGTGGATATATGAACTGACATTATTATCAGACTGAACACACTTTGACAGTTGATTTAGCACGTTATTGATATAGCTAAGTGTTGAGTAGTCACAGTTATGCACCAAAAATAGAATTTCAGTTTTTTGTTGTGTGTAATATTGAGTTGAAAATCAAACAAAGTAAACATTCCTGATGATCTCTTCTTGGTTTCTATAAATACCAAAAAACAAGGGTGAGCACAGTATGTCAAACAGGGGTAGATATCTTATTTATCTTTGTTTTATTTTTCAATTAATTACTTATTCAGTTTAGATGTCTCTAACTTTTTTTTTAATTTTTTTATTATTATTATTATTTTGAGATTCTCTGCCCATCACAAGGGAAAAGGGGATGTGGGGAACAAAGTGTGATGCATCCCAACCATAGACTGTAAATATTAAATGCCAACCAGTGCAAACATGTAAATACAATGTCACACTTTACAAAATTGAACCCAAAAAAAAGACAGGGTACACAACTGTAAAAGCTAACTGCAACATGGACTGTGTGAATATGATGGAACTATGAGGCCTTATTTGTAAAGCTGCAGGTGGTTCTTTGAATGACAGTGTTTTTGTTGGCACACAGCCTGATCTGCATCGAGTGGATCTGACCAGCCTACCTCCCCGCTGCTTTTTAGATGTAAACAAATCATCCCTGATCCTGGGCAAAGGGACAAACTCAGGGCTCTGAGAGGTAGTTGAAAATAATAATATTCCACTTGAGATTGAAAGCGCCATAGTTTCCTTCATGGGTACTGTGGTAGGTAGCCCACCACTATGTTTTTGTATTGTCTGTCTGACCTACAGACAGATATTAAAAAAACACTATTGATGTAAGGTTAAGATTCCATTTGACTTTGTGCCTGGATGATAGGTGGATACATTTCGAATTTTTACATCAACAAATGCTATTCATTTCAGAAGAGATTGTATTTAATTTATGCAGTATGTATACTTTTTTCTCAGATTTCCAATATTACAATACACAGTCCAGGTTCCAGCAATGATGTTTGACTTTTTCAATTTGTAATATTATATAGTATTTCTGTCACGTTTGTACTCATATGTACTTTTTAGGAGCGCATACTGTATATACAATTACAATGTTGTTTACAATTTCATACCTATTGAATCTTCACATAGCTAGTTCAATGAAATAGATAACTTTGAATCAAAATTCTTGGACGGAGCAGTGAAATACTTTTAACAAGTGTTGAATTCTAATATTTCTGGTAGCGTGTATGTAAATGGAGGTGCAGGTGGTAAAGCAGCAGTTCTCAAATGGGATCCCCAGGTAGACCCCATGACACTAAGCTGGACAGGCGTGAGATCATTTATATACAACGCACATTGACGCACATGTTACGTACTATAAAGATGAGACTTGTGGAGGGTCAATCATCTGCTCGTTTGTTGAAAACATGGCGTTCCCTTGTTTACCACAAGCTTTAGTCAAACATCTCTGGAGTATGAAAACCTTGTCAAAAAATGTGTTTAGTATTATTTTGTTACATTTGGTGTGACTATACACAGTCACTAATATAAAGTCCATGAGTAGCAGGATTCACTCTGCACTGCGACGTAAATGTGTGAGAGCACCCCTAACCACAGAGGAACAAGACACGATATGTATATATGTTTTTTTTCTTCCAGAAAACAGGGGGATAAACATATATAATTTTAATATATATTATGAAATAACAATGTTGTTGCATTAAAGTCGTTTGAGAAAAAGTATAATTTGTTGTTTTGTCTCGACAGTAATTATTTAAAACTCCCCAACATCCCCATTACTCTGTTACCTTTATTTGTACTTATTGTATTGCCGGTATACACATATATTTCCTGTTCTAGAGTATATAGTATTTTTACTGCTTCTTTATTGAGCTAAAGATATACATTTTATTCTATTTTGTAGAATATGTTCGTGGTATAATTAATATTCACTTATTTTGTGTTATGGGAGGCCAAGTAACGTTGCAAATGTGGCACTACCAAACAGTCTATGTACCAAACGCAGTTCGTGAGTTTCAAGTTGACTCTGCGGTGATTTTACTCCAATCCACCAGTGGTCGCCCTTTGGCAAAAAGGTCAAAGCTGCGCACTAACTTACCAGTCGAGCTCCAGATCCTGCTCGTAGCTACAGAAGCTAACCGGCTAATCTCTTGAACAACGCAACTAATGCCTATTTTACATTTTTAGCGTTTGGATTTTCAGTGTTTTTCATCTTGGGTTTTTTATTTATTTCAATCGCTGTTGTTGTTGTACCAGTTACATTACAAATGCAAGTGCGATTACATTGCGATTCCTGTGGTTGTTTTGGACAGAGTTCAATCTCAGTAATGTTAGTACACATACAAACAAGCTAGTTAGCCGAGTGCTGTAACTTAGTGGGCTGACGTCGGTGCATCCCGGATGGTTTAAGACGGAGTAATAGCGGGTTTTTATGGGAGTTTTTAATCCCGGCGTTACAACATGTCAAGCGGCCGGACGCAGCCAAACAGTGGAGTGAGTTCAGTGCCCGGGACGAGCAGCAGTGGCGGGGGTACTGGCTCTTCCAACCCGGGTGGAGGAAGCAGCCACACAGCTTCAAGTAATGGAAACAGCTCTGCGAACGTGGTGCCCTCTCGGAGTTTGGCTTCCCCCGCAGCAGCTGGTGGAGACAGCGGGTTGTCGGTGCCTAGTTTGTCCACAGGGCCGTCCTCCAGGGTCGGCTTTTCCTCCCTGAACAGACCCTCAGCCTCTTCCAGCAGCAGGAAGAGGTCTCTGCATCAAGCGCCTCTCTATAATGGACTGCTGAACTCCTATGAGGATAAAAGCAACGACTTTGTCTGGTTAGTGTGATCTTGACGAGTGTGACAGACGACTGGTGTCGTGGACAACTCTTTTAATACTGCTGTTTTAATTTTACAGCCCTATTTGTTTTGAAATGATAGAAGAAGCACACATGACAAAGTGTGGGCACAGCTTTTGGTAAGTGTCAACCTTTGTGCAAGAGTAAAAGTAACTGAACTACACTTTTATTTTGTTTAAAGCTTGATTACCAAAACATGTAATTAATCCATCTAGCTAGTTTGTACGCTCAAAACAGTTCTGTCATTAGTTTTCACATGCATGTATCTTTGGCCTGTAAAGTCTGTGATCAACTTTAACAGACCGAAAAGTGATAAAAAGCCCAATGTTTTCCAATGGGATGAAGACTGCATGTTGTGGTCTGATATGTTTACACAATTTTACCTTTACAAGACTGTTGGGACAAAGAAAATGTTTTCATTAAAACAAACAAATAATATTTGTTTTGTAGTTTTAAATGCATACGGCAAAGTTTGGAGGATAGCAACAGGTGTCCGAAGTGCAACTATGTTGTTGATAATGTGGATCAGCTCTACCCAAACTTTCTTGGTATGTTTTACATTGAATTACTGAAGTTTTTTTTTACCCCCAATAGACATGCACTTGTGTAATGTCATAAATATGTATACTTCTATAATTGTTACTTTTATCCTGCAGTAAACGAACTGATTCTTAAACAGAAGCAAAGGTCAGAGGAGAAAAGACTGAAACTCGATCATCCTGTAAGTGAATGCCATATAGTGGGTTTCCACGTCTTTTGCCTCATCTTGAGACCTATCTCAAGATGATGAAACTTATCATGCACTGTGTTTCTCAGAATGGGTCAAGGTGGCAGGTCTTCCAGGATGTACTGAGTCCGGACCAGGAGAACCTTGATCTTGCAAATGTCAATCTGATGCTCGAGCTCCTGGTTCAGAAGAAAAAGCAACTCGAAGCAGTAAGAATACTCTTATTTGAAAATACATGTTCAGTAGTAGTAGTAGTAGTAGTAGTAGTAGTAGTAGTAGAAGTCATGAAATAGTATTCTTTGTTTTTATTTTCCTCTTATGATGTCCTCAAGAGGTTAGGCAAACAACTTTTCTTTGTTATTAAAGTGTATGGCTTCCTTGTGTTTAAGGGATTTCACTCTATAGCAGAGAGAATGTGACCAGTTCTATGAATTAAAAATGTAGGGATTGAACAAATCTTATTATATAAATCAATTATTGCATTATTCTTGACCATACCTAATCTGAAGTATTTTTTTAGTTATTGAGTTAGACATTGTATTGCCACATATTGTGCCTATTTATTTTTCTTTTAATAGGAATCTCAAGCAGCGCAAAGGCAAATCTTAATGGAGTTTCTCAAAGAAGCAAGGAGAAACAAGAGAGAGGTATCCTAGTGTTTGAAATAATACATTTATGGAATTAATCATGATATGGACTTATACTTTTCCTTCCATAAACAGCAACATGAGCAATTGCAGAAGGAGCTGAACTTTCTTGAAGAGGACATTAAACGTGTTGAGGTTGATATAAACGCATATGCTACTTCCGCTCTATTTTCTATACAGGTGTAAAATGTATTGTGCAAGTTTAACATCTGTGTCCTATTTTCCAGGAAATGAGTGGTTTGTATTCTCCAATAATGGAGGCAGAATGCACAGTGCCCAATGTGGAGGCTCCCTCTCCAGCTCCCAGGTATCTCCGGAAAATCAGTACTCTTCAATTATCTATTTCCGCACATAGTGTCTCATGTTGCTGATTTTAAATATCACATTTTGTCCCCCTTCCCCCAGTTGTAGTAGTATTATTGATACACAAGACTACAATCAGCCTCCAGGGTTTGGGGGTTCGACACAGGGTAAAAGACAAACTTGGTACAACAGCACACTCGCGTCCAGAAGAAAGAGACTGACGGCACACTTTGAAGACTTGGAGCAGTGTTACTTCTCCAACAAAATGTCCAGAATTACAGGTATGGATCCTGCTGCCAGCACAATTATTCCATTTCCAGGAGTACATTTCAGTCATAACTTTTCAGACAAACAAAATATAGGTTGTGATACTTTGTTAACTTTCTTTATTCGTCAGATGAGGGCCGAAATCTGAACCAGCTTGATGACTTCATGGAGTGTCTATCCAAATTCACTCGCTACAACTCGGTGCGGCCCCTCGCCACGCTTTCGTATGCCAGTGACCTCTATAATGGCTCTAGTATTGTTTCTAGGTAGGAAAAACTTCAGCTGATTGTTTGTCCATGTTCCACATGAAAGTGAGGATGACATCTGTGTTTGTTTTTAGTATTGAGTTTGACCGTGACTGTGACTACTTTGCCATTGCCGGTGTGACCAAGAAAATAAAGGTCTTTGAGTATGGCACTGTGATCCAAGATGCAGTAGATATTCACTACCCAGTAAATGAAATGACCTGCAATTCTAAAATCAGGTAAATTGTGGGCATTGACACATATTTTACAAATGTATTTGTTGAACTACACTTATTCTTTCTTGTCTGTTAGCTGTATCAGCTGGAGTAGCTATCACAAGAACCTTCTGGCTAGCAGTGACTATGAGGGTACCGTCATCCTGTGGGATGGGTTTACGGGCCAGAGATCCAAAGTCTATCAGGTAATCATTATATTGGTTGTTATGATATGATGTAATATAACAGTTATGATGGCTTGAATCAATTTTTTTTGGATATTCCTAATCTGTTACAGTAGAATGATAAATAAAATGTATGTAATGTATTAATGATGATTTTCAGGAACATGAAAAAAGGTGTTGGAGTGTTGACTTCAATTTGATGGACCCTAAACTTTTAGCCTCAGGTTCAGATGATGCTAAAGGTAAATTACCTACAATCCAATTGAAATATGCATTTGGTATACTGAAGTTATTCAGTCTTATTTTTGTTTGTTTTTAGTTAAGTTATGGTCAACAAATCTTGACAACTCAGTGGCCAGCATTGAAGCTAAGGCAAATGTCTGCTGCGTGAAATTCAGTCCGACCTCCAGATATCATCTGGCCTTTGGTTGTGCAGGTGAGCTTGTTGTATTCTGCAATATTACTATAGAATAGTGTTCTGCAAAAATAACATTGCTGTAATATGTAGTATTCACTTTATTATCTTCCCACAAACCAATTGGTGGTCCTTCAAGAATGTTTTCTTTTTTCTGGCAGACCATTGTGTTCACTATTATGATCTACGTAATACCAAGCAGCCAATAATGGTGTTCAAAGGCCACAGAAAAGCTGTGTCTTACGCGAAGTTTGTAAATGGAGATGAAATTGTTTCAGCGTAAGTATTGCTCTTCCCCTCAACCTTGAATATGTATTACAATTTATTTATACCATATTACTAATATATATATATATATATATATATAATATATATATATTTTTTTTTATCAATGCAGATCTACAGACAGTCAGCTTAAGTTGTGGAATGTCAACAAAACCCACTGTCTGCGCTCATTTAAGGGACACATCAATGAGAAGAACTTTGTGGGTCTGGCTTCCAATGGAGACTACGTGGCTTGTGGTGAGTGTTTACTTAAAACACTTACTGGCAAACCACACTGTCACTGAATTGATTTTTTTTCCCCAACAGGCAGCGAAAACAACTCACTTTATTTATATTATAAAGGACTTTCAAAAACACTGCTAACATTTAAGTTTGACACAGTGAAAAGTGTTTTGGACAAAGATAAGAAAGAAGACGACACAAATGAGTTTGTCAGTGCAGTTTGTTGGAGGGCCCTACCAGACGGAGTAAGTTGACAAATGTTTTTTTAGAATTCAAACTAAATATTTGGTGTAATTTTAATGTACTGCATTTCTTTACTAGGAGTCAAATGTTTTAATTGCTGCAAACAGTCAGGGAACAATCAAGGTTTGTTCAATTAATCTATGACACTTGATACAATTTACAACAGAAGACCTAATGAAGTTGTTCCATTTGTACAATATCCTATAAGTTGATACAAGAATTTTTTTGTCTTCACAGGTACTCGAGCTTGTGTGATGGCCAACATGTATCTACATTCTTAAAATACTTAAGCCTCTGGAGGAACAAGAAGGTAGAAGATGAGTATGCCATCAGCACTTCTGTGAATCGAAGATTAACTTTAAAAAAATAAGCTTATAAAGGTCACGTTGGAAAGTTTGGAAGACTCAACTAATTTAGACTTTCAAGCATTTGTTTTGTAAAGGTTAAGCTATATCAGCACCAGTATAACTCCTTGTGGTTTTAGATCAAATTCTCCAATATGTACTTTTAAAGGAATGATGTACCAACTATTTTAAAGGCCAAAGCACAAGACATAAGCAACAAGTGAAATGATGTGTCCATGTGAAGTTTTAACTCCCTTTTGTCTGTCAACTGTTTTCCTATGTATATGTACAGTACTTCTGTGTTCTTTTGCTATACAGAAGAATCCAGTTTGAATAAATATTACTTGAATTTAACTGTGTGCAGTGTTTTTCCCCACACAGTGCATAGAGTAAATGTTTTTGTAAATCCATATGTAGCATAGACTTACATACCCTTTTTTTTAAGTATAGCCCACATAACTAATAACTAATGCTATGCATATTTTTTAATTGAACCACTTTTATGTCTTCTGATATATTTAAATATATTTATAATACATTTTGTGTACGAATGTATGGCTCGCTGCAAAGATGGTTCATTTTCTCGTTCCGACCTGATCTTGCTGCGTAACCCGGAACCATTGTTTCCTGGTGTTGGCGGAGTGAATTCGCGGTGGGAGCATGGACACCTAGCTTGTTAGCTGCTGTTGAAACAAAACCCTCTCCCAGCAAGTTCCTCTAATCAAGTCAAAACTGAATTGAACCCAGGGAGACGTATAAGGAAACAACGCGGGGAAAATATTTTTATTTTTTTAATTTGTCTTTGAGAGATTTCCAACGAAGATGGGAGTCCCTAAATTCTACCGATGGATTTCGGAGCGTTATCCGTGTCTTAGTGAAGTTGTGAAAGAACACCAGGTAACGTTGAATCAAAAGCCCTTGTCTATTGACTATGCGTATCTTTATTTGTTACAAAATTAGAGCACATTGAACATGTAAAACAATACTCTGTAGAAACTGGTTTAGTTTCATCGAGCGACAAAGAAATCTTAAGATACGAAAATCTTGAGCTACATAGAACACAACAAAGGTTTCCTGGTTACTAAATTGCCTGGATTACGTTTACTAAACCATATGAAGGACCAATAATACCAGACAAAACAAACAGCGCTCCTGAACTAACTAAGCAAAATGCAACCTCTGTCAGCAGGCCAAGAGGTCATCAGATCACGTTGTCAGATTTACAAACGTTATTGAATTAACGACTATTTATGTTGTTTAAGATATTATCCTTACACTATAATATGTATTTAAAGTGCCAGGATGCATCTATATCCCAAGCAGCTGTTTCCCAGCTGGAGGTCAATTTCACCGTGTTGCGTCAGTTTGTTCTGTAATGAGTTTCCACCAGTGACTATGATAATGATGACCTATAATGCTTGAAGTGAACGAGTTATTATGAAATGTCCTTCTTCAGAATCTATCTGTTTTAAATAGAGAGGAAATATATGATAATGACACTTGTATTGATTTTAATAACATATTTATTATGGGCACACAAGATTCTGATATAATTTGACATTTGTGATAATGTTCTCTTTGTTGTTGTTTCATAGATCCCCGAGTTTGACAATTTGTATTTGGACATGAATGGCATCATTCACCAGTGTTCACACCCTAATGATGAGGACGTCCACTTCCGAATCTCTGAGGAGAAGATTTTTGCAGATATTTTCCATTATCTAGAGGTTCTCTTCAGGATTATCAAGCCACGCAAAGTGTTCTTCATGGCTGTGGATGGTGTCGCCCCAAGAGCAAAGATGAACCAACAGAGAGGACGCAGATTCAGGTAGTGCTGCTGAACTCTGTGTACCACCTCAATAATAACTGACTGGAGTGAGGCTGCCAATCTCCATACACCTCCTAGATGTAAAATAATGGAGAAAGTTGATCTAATTGATTTCAGCTGTAATATGCAGCATAAAAAGGTGTTATTGTGTGATTTGCCTCAGCAAGAATCCTACCAGACTGAAACTAGGATACTTAAATACTAGATATTTAGTAAAAATCAATATGTAATGTTTTTTCACTTGAATCATCTCTAGCAGCTCACATCCACCTCTTTATTTGTCCCTGTGTCTGTGTGATTGTCTCTGTGCCTGGTTGGATGAATCATTCAGGTCAGCCAAAGAGGCAGAAGATAAGATTAAAAAAGCTTTGGAGAAAGGAGAGGTGCTGCCCACCGAAGCTCGGTTTGACTCCAACTGTATCACGCCCGGTAAGGATCCTTGTAGTGTAAAGAATAGACTATTATTTAATTAAAGTGTTTTTAAAAAATGTACTCAAGGTAATACATTATTATGTATGTATTATTATTATTATTATTTACTTATATGAGCAACACACAATGTTTATAAAACAAGACTATTATTGCAAGTAGATTTTCTACACAAAAGAAGGTCTCATACTTCATGTCATGTGGTATTCATCACTGTTAAATATGTTTGTAATATCAGTGATAGCATAATAATAACTGGCACAATTTCCAGGAACTGACTTCATGGTTCGACTACAAGAACAGCTCAAATACTTTGTCTATAGTAAGATTTCTACAGACAAGCAATGGCAAAAGGTCAAAGTCTACCTCTCCGGACATGAGGTGCGATTTAATAGTTTCTATGATTGGACGGATTCTGTGCTAACGTCATGTTGACGTAATCTTTTCCTCTCTTCAGACTCCTGGAGAGGGTGAACATAAAATCATGGAGTTTATTAGATCTGAGAATGCTAAGCCAAGCCATGACCCCAACACTCGACACTGCTTGTATGGTCTGGATGCTGACTTGGTATTTTTATTTTTTATTGGTTATTGTTTGCATTATTTTTGCTGCATTAAAATTCACATTTACTAAAAAAAAATGTTATCCCTTTGTGACAGATAATGTTGGGGTTGACTAGTCATGAACACAATTTTTCACTGCTCAGAGAAGAAGTCCGCTTCGGAGGCAAGAAATCTCAGAAAAGGTTTGCGTCTATGAGAACATCATTTTGACATTGTTTTTTCTCCTCGCAATTATATAAGTCTTTTTTTCTTTGTCTTAGAATCACTACCCCCGAAGAGACGACATTTCATTTGCTTCACTTATCTCTGATGAGAGAATATATTGATTATGAGTTTTCTGGTCTAAAGGTAAGACATTGTAAAATTAGTTATTAGCTCATTCTAATGATATTAAATCATTAACTATTTCTGTCCCGATTACACTAAATGTTGACTGTCTTTCAGGAACATTTAGGTTCTAACTATGATTTGGAGAGAATAATAGACGACTGGATATTAATGGGCTTCCTTGTGGGAAATGATTTCATCCCTCACCTTCCAAATCTCCATATCAATCATGACGCTCTGCCAATGTTGTACAAGACGTACATAACCGTGCTTCCCAGCGTTGGGGGCTATCTGAATGAAAATGGGCACTTGAACCTCAGAAACTTTGAAAAGTACCTGGAGAAACTTGCAGAGGTGAGATATACCAACAGCAGTATTGGAAACAGTTAATGGTATTTGATGGTTTCTATGTTTAAACCTTTGAGTTATACGTTATTAACCAATGCATTAAACCTTTTGGCAGTTAGAAACGTTATGTGGAACATAAAAAAGCTGTTGCCCTGACTTTAAAATAGATGGAGTACTATTGAAACGGAATGACAGAAAGAAATGGAAAGAAAGAATCACCGGTACACATTGTGTCCTGGATTCAAGATCTAATAATCTGTGTCTTATTGTAACTTGTGATTTATGGATTCCAGTAATATGTGCTCATCAAAGCGAATGAATGCATTGCAATACGTATTGAATTAAATATTGTCTCTTTTCTTTTTAGTTTGACAGAGAACATTTCAATGAGGTGTTCGTAGACCTGAAGTGGTTTGAAAGCAAAGTCGGCAACAAGTACCTGAATGAGGCGGCCGGTCTGGCTGCAGAGGAGGAGGCGTCCGGCAGTGATGGCAATAAAAAGGTTCAGTGTCAATTTCAGCTTTATTTGTCTGGCACGCTGACCAAAGTACTTCACAGGCACTGAAGAAAATATAGATAATAAGTTAAATGACTGTTACGGTGAACACAAATCAAAGAATGGAGTTGAATATTTCTGGTTGTGTTCATAGATTCGAGCACTGGTTGACGCAACCTCGATGCAGAAGCCGATCGGAGGTAGGAGTGCTCAGGCAGAGGAAGAGGAAGAGGAGGATGACATCTTTGAGACGGAGTTCAGACAATACAAACGCACCTACTACATGACAAAGATGAACGTAGATGTCGTGTCGGAGTGAGTGTTGCTTGTAAAGCTCAGCATCACTGGATTATTGGCTCAAATGTAATTGTTACTCCTTTTCCCGCAGTGAGTTTCTTGTAGATCAAGCCAAGGGTTATGTTGAAGGACTCCAGTGGATTCTACATTATTACTACCATGGTGTTCAGTCTTGGAGCTGGTGAGTTTTCTGAGCAATGCAATAAATCCATGTAACCTCTGTCTTTCCAGCACTAGTTTTCACATGTGTTGTCATGATACAACATTAGAAATGTTTATAAATTGTTATTATTTATACATTTTTGGACAATAATCAGACATTTTTGCCACAAAATAATAATGCATAATTTATTGTTATTAAAATTTATATTTTTTGGAGGGGCAAAATGTTCTGCTATGAAATGTTTTCAAAAAATGCACAAGAAATGTCCAATTTTACAATTTATTTATACAAAATTTGGTGTTTTGATTTTATAGTTTTCATATGCATGTAGTTTTGGCCTCTGTCACGTTTGTAGATCAGGGGCCGTATTCCTAAAGATTCTGAGAGTCCTCTCAGAGAGCTCTTATCTTAACCTAAAAACTCCTAGCTAGGAGTCTTAGCTTAGTTATTCCAGAACACTCTTAGAGAACTCTGAGCAAGGAATTGACAACAACTTTTATCTTAGTGAGGAGGCGTGGCCGACCCCGTTGCTAGGTATGAGTCATAATTTCAGACGCTGTGATTGGTTGATCCTAAAAGTTAGAACAAACATATTTTTGATGATAATAGGCAAAATAAGGGCCCTAAAATGGACAAACTCAATCATGGAATCTAATCTTAGGAACACTGTGTTATTGTAAATAATAACCAAAAGCTATAAAGTCAGATATATCAATGGTACATAAATACTGTGAATAGTAAAGTTAGACTTATACACCATCATCAGAGCTTGCTCAGCACCAATTTATCACACATAATACGTATATATCATAAGCACTTATAATTTTATATATATATATATATATATATATATATATAACTCTATATATAATATACATGATAAAGAAAATTATTATAATAAATATTATATGGATAAATGATGATAATGATAACGTTAGGATTAGTAAAGGCTGTGATATGTATAGACTTATAAGGAATTAAGGAAACAATATTAATATAAACATATTATACATACACTGTACAAATCAAGTACAAGGGAGCTTAAAAGTCTTATCCTCTCCCACTCCTTTTTGAGCTGGATTGTTGTTAATAAAACAAAACTGTATAGTTGTACTTCTATTCTGTTGTTGTTTTGTCCTTTTTTTTCTTGTTTGCCATGGCTCAAAATAAAGTATTCATTCATTCGTACTGAATGTGTGACAATTTAGGACCACTTTTTCCTCTCTTTCAACTTTTACCATTTCTACTTACTTTTGTGTAACAAAGGTAAAATGGATGAGGTGTTATTGCTGACCAGCCAATAAGAAGCTGGTCACATTATTGACTTTTAAATATACCACAAACATGATTCCTGCTTGAATCTGCAGCGTTTCACTGATTCACTGTCATCCAGTGTATAGAATATTTCTCCTGTCTCCACCGTCCACCATTTTGTGCTCTTAGGGAACTTTTAAGTCGCTAAAAGTCCTCCTCTCAACTCTTAAGGGATCTCCCCTTAAGAGCACTCTTAAGAGCTAGGATTTTTTTAGGAATAGCTTTTATCTTAACTAGGAGCTACTCCTCACTTTTAGGGGAAATTCTAAGAGTTGGTCAAGATTCTAAGAAAATTCTTAGAATTTGGCCACTAGGAGCAACTTTTAGCAGTAAGAATCTTTAGGAATACGGCCCCTGGTTTTTTGGAAAAAGAGATGACCACCCTCATTTAGCCAATCAGCTGACCCCAAGAGTCAAATAGTGACTCACAGGGCACTTCCTACAAGTATGCAAACACATTTTCTGATTTGCTGAAGTTGACATATTGTGGTCTGATTATTATTATAATTTTTTATTCATTTATTTATTTATTCTAAACAAGACTTTATTAGAAAAAAAACGCTAATGTTATTTAGGAAGATAACAAGTTAGGTACCCCAACTTTAATTTGCAGTTTTGTTAAATGTCTCTTTTTGTTTAGGTACTACCCTCATCACTACGCTCCATTTCTCTCTGATATAAAGAATATATCAGAGTTTAAGTTGACTTTTGATCTAGGAAAGCCCTTCATGCCTTTCCAGCAGCTTCTAGCAGTTTTGCCTGCAGCCAGTAAAGAGCTGCTACCAGAGTGCTATAGGGTAAATATAAAAAGTCATAATTGCAAATGTACATATCATAATTACTTGTCTTTATAATAATAATTTGTGTATTTCATTCCAGTTCCTTATGACCAGCGAGTTTTCCCCCATTCTCGAGTACTACCCTTTGGATTTCAAAACGGACTTGAACGGGAAGCAACAGGAGTGGGAGGCCGTGGTGCTTATTCCCTTTATCGATGAGGTACGCCCAAAGATGACCTACAACTACACACGCAGTTAATTTTGTTCAGCCGAAATTAATGTGTTTTGGACGTGGCATTTCAACAGATAAAGTTGTTGGCAGCCATGGAGCCCTGCAACGAGAAGCTGACCAAAGAGGAGAAAGCCAGGAACCGGCATACAGAATGTGCCGTTTACATGTACGACAAGGAGAGCGAGTTCACCTTCAAGTCCAGCCTTCCCCAGATGTTCCCTGACATCATCCACTGCCGTGTTAGGTATTTACTCTTAAAGCTGGGGTATCTAACTTTCAAACCACAAAAAACTGAACTATGTAATAAAACTCAACAAACTAGTTGAGCACATTTTGACTGCCTTAAAACAAGATTTGCCAATGGAGCAAGCAAAATTATGACAAAAAATATACAAGAAAGGTCCCTCTTGGAATGAGAAAATAAGTCATAATTGAAATATGACTAAATGGCTTGTCCCATTTTTTTTTTTTAGGGACAGTCAGAATTTACTAAAATTAACTCTCACTCTGCCAATCTCTCAGTGCAAATGAGTCAAATAGCGACACACAACAATTGTTAAGTGCGTTTTGACTCTGGTCTGTGAAAGGTGCTATATAGATCAAGATGACTTACTTAATTACACGTGGTGCTTTCATATGTAAGTAAGTAGCAGGCAAGTATGCAAAAGATAACATGTTTTCTAATAAGACGTTATTAGCTGAAAAAGAATGAAAAATAAATCTTAGGTGCTCCTTCTTTTGATAAGTCATTGGAATTAGAGAAAGAGTCCAACAAAGTAGACTTGATATTTCTTAACGTTCCACATTAATTACAACAGGGTCATTACTATTCCTATGGACGCTTGGCATGTACCACTGGATCACGTCAGCAGGCGCGTGGACCGCTCCGCCCTCTATTTCTGCGGCTTCCCAACGCTACAGCACATCCCACATAAGGTAAGAACAGGCTTCATATTTAACAAACATTTCAACACAGCCTTTGTTGAAATGCCTAACGTTTACTTCTGTATTCCCCTCGCTCGCAAATCACTTCTCAGTTTTACAAGAAGAAGAGCGGCGTGGTTGTCTTCCAGCAGAGCAGCCGAGGGGAGAACATGATGCTAGAAATCCTCTCGAACAAAGACGGAGAAGCAGTGAGGCCACATTTCTGCCGCTCTGATGTTGACCTCCCTCAACATTTCTCATCCAAACTAATCCTCTCTTCTCTGTCCTCACGTTTTCAGATTTGCGACAATGTTGCTGCTGATTTACTGGGCAAGTCCATATTTGTGAATTGGCCCCATCTAGAGGAAGCCCGGGTTGTTGCGGTTTCTGACGGCGAGACCAAGTATGTAGATGCCTTAGATACAGTTTTTGTCATTTTAGAGAAGACGATCTCAAGACTTGCCGTTGATATGAACAAAAGCTTTGAACCTTGTAAAAAATAAATAATAATAGATACGCTAAAAGGTGTTAGATTATTCAGTAATATTTTGCTGTAGATTGTATTCAATTTTTTATTTTTATTTTTTTATTAGGTTTTCTCTGGATGAACCTTATGGTACCCAGAAAGTGTATGACAGGCCATCCACTCCCCCACCCACAAAAGTCTCCCGTCTCTCTGACAAAGACCAGAAAGACTGGGTAAAAGATGTCCAGGGAATCACCGAACAGTAAGCCACAACATGTACATTATATTAATCTCACATTGCATGCGTTAAACTATATTGTTTCATTCAATAGTTACCAGAAGAGAAAAGGCATCTTGACAAACGAGATCGATGTGGTGGTCTACGGCCAGCTTATGATGGGAAGAAAGTTTGTCCCTAAAGCCACTGGCGTTGTTGAACTGGAGAAACAGTGGGCCAAGCAGGTGTTGCCTTTTCCCTACCAGGCTGTTGTCAAGGTGATTCATAACGTTGTGATTCTATTTGTGTCCCGTTGTTTTATGTATTTATAACATTGCAAACATGATTTATAGGAGATTAGAGCCTTCTACTCGTCTTTGGTAAACTTCACAAGCCTGGAGGACCTTTTTCCTTCGTCGACTGCAGTCTTTATGGTCGGAAACCCGTACTATGGCGCTATGGGAGAGGTTAGTAACCGTCCTATTCTCCAAAAGAATTTATTTATGAAAGTTTTGGCAAGATTGATTTGTTCTTTATACGTCTGTTACAGGTGCAAGACTCCAGTGATGTAATCAAAGATGGACGGGTGCGAGTGGTTTTCAGCCTGCCGCATGAACCACAACTTGACAACTTGATTCAAAACCAACATGTACGTAATGTTTCTAGCGGCACTCATGTATTTAATTTGTTTATTTATTTCAAACATGCACGAGATACAATTATTCACAGGGGAATATAATAAAAAGTTTATATTAATCCAATCCCGTCCCATCCATTCAGACACACACTACACTATAATACAAAAAATAGAAGGAATCAGAACCAATACCCTCCAACAAAACACATAACAGTCAATGACACATACATACACACATTAGCACCAATGGCAGTAGACGGACAAGACCAAGACACACAGACAAGACCTAGAACACTCACTAACCCCTCCCCCACTCTGGGCTGAGGGCATCACTCTCTTTTTATTTTTTGAACTATCAAATTTCTCCTCACCCTGTCTCCTTACATTATCTCGTTTATTTTGTCATAGAAATACTGCGTGAAATACAGCCCTGGCTACATCCTGGCCTCTCGTCTCGGCATCACCAGCTACCTCGTCTCCCGTTTTTCAGGGAGCATCTTCGTCGGCAGGGGCTCAAAGAAAAAGTAAGTAGAGTTCTTACACTTCGACTGTCGTACTACCACATCGTTTGCTCAAGTTTGTCCCATTGTCTCGTGTAGTCCATGTGGAGAACAGAAAGCTAATATCGGTCTGAACCTCAAATTCAACAAGAAGAATGAGGAAGTGCCGGGCTACACCAAAAAGACAGAGAAAGAGTGGTTGTACTCTTCAGCCGTGGAGGAACTGCTGGCAGATTATTTGGACAGGTACATTTCAGTTTTGACATGCAGTTGAATCCAGACCATTAAAAACATATCAATTAATGTATCTATAAACCTTTGCTAGATTTTCGGAGGTTTTCACATCTGTATCGAGAAACTCCCACGATGATGTGTTCTATGAGGACGACATATGGCCTGGAGAGGACCAGAACGGGTAAAACTAAGTCCAGTCCTTGAAAGCGCCTATACACATGCAGATCTTGTTAAAGCTGGCCTACCTAACTTTCAAACCGCAATAAATGGAGCTGTATCAAAATCAATGAAACTGCTGAATGTTCCTAGCTGTCTACAGTTTGGTTCCATCACTAGATTTCATACACACTTTTTTTTCTCTGTGACACCTTTTTGTTCAGCTTTTTCAAACAGAAAATATAAACAGAGACGGTTCTTTTCACAGCTCCCAATCTTAAACGTGCCTCTGAGGGCTATTTCTTAAAAGTATGCGAAAGATTAAATGTTTTTACATAAGATAAAGAAGGCAAGTTGTGGTCTGATTTGTTGACAATATTTGTTAAGACTTGTTATGCTCCCACACCCAAAAATTATTGTATTTTTTTGGGGCGTGGGAGTTGGATATCCCAGCTTTGATAATGGATGATGATGATTTTAAATGCAATGTGCACAGACCGGAGAAAGTGTCCGAAATCACAGCTTGGTTGAAGGGTCATCCTGTGAGCTCCGTTAGCAGAGCCTCCTGTGACCTTCAGGTGCTGGATTCCGCCATTGTCGAAAAGATCGAGGAGGCAGTGGAAAAGGCAAAGGTATTCACACAATTTCAAATATTGTTGCTGTAATATTGTGTCTTCATTCCAAACTTCTTGTCAATCAGGTGAAGAAGAGCACTCGCAAAGTCCGCGTGACCGTGAAACCTCATCTGCTCTTCAGGGTAGGTCACACACTCATTTATTTACTCCAAACCACACAATGATTGAATTAAAATGTGGTATACAATTACAATAGTAGTGGGGGGAAAAACTATTCTGTTCAGTATTGCAATATTTTAACGTGGCCATACTTGCATGCGAAAGCTAGATCCCGTCAGTCCTCTGAAGCTGTACAGGGTAGGGCCTGGTTAGAATTGTAATGGCAGCTGTGGCTACACTAGTAGTTTATCACCATTGTGAATGGAGTGAAAGAATAATGACATGTGATGCATCTTTGAGTGTCCCGTTAAAGCACTATATAAAACCGATGTATTACAATTATTATATACAGTATTAGTTTCACATTGTAAGTTGAATAAAGTAAATGGACTTATGACCGTTACTCTAATCACCTGTACGCAGCCTCTGGAGCAGCAGCAGGGCGTGGTGCCGGATCCTGAGGCAGAGTTTCGTCTGTTTGATCGGGTTGTGAACGTCAGGGAGGGCTTTTCTGTGCCACTCGGACTCAGAGGAACAGTGACTGGAATCAAAGGGGGTGAGTGCAGTAGGACACAGTCAGAAACTATCATTGTAATGTCTAATGTCTGTTTTCTAAACACACACAGCTGATAAAGAAGCAGACGTTCTTTATGAAGTGGTGTTTGATGAAGAATTTGCTGGAGGTCTTAACCTGAGGTGTGTACCTATTTGCGTCAGTAGATAATCTAATACAGTGGTTCTCATGTGTTGGGCTGGGACCGAAATGTGGGCCGCAAGCATTTTGTAATATGCATAAAACGCTACAAAAAGTCACCTAGAAAAAAGTAACATTATCTTAATATTAATTGAAGGGATTTATTAAAAGAAATGTGTGTATATATTGATACTTGAATCAAAAAAATTGGCATATAGTTTGGCAATAGTCTTGTGTTGGTACAATTAGTTCACAAGATTAAAACCAATCGATTTTCATAACATTTCTGTGAGATCAAGTGAAACGTAGTACTGTGTTGCCCCTTTGGCAGATTTTAAATGAGTTCCTTAACTCAAAGTCAAATGTACTTATTTCAAGTTTTTTGAGTCTGTTTGAGTTATGTTGTTCATAACCTTTGTTTTGTAGTAATATTCAATGCTTATATAACAATAGTTTGTGAAAAGCATTTTTCATTCTTATTTGAGTCACAGCTTGCCGTCCTATGTTGATGGTGGGCCTTGATGCTGTTCCAGTTGAGAACTGCTGATCAAGTAAAGATAACATTTCTTACTCCAAACACATGTTTGTCCGTTCAGAACCTCGTCACCTCGAGGATACCGCCTCCCGCCCTGCGCCCTCATAAACCTGTCCCACGGAGCGCGAGTGGACCACACATCGGGCAAACTCACCGCCATCGTCAAGCCTCAGCCTTCATCAACTCCCAACAACTCCAACAGACAGCTGGGAGGCTTGAACCACTCCCCACGATCGCCCTTCATACCCACACAAGTAAGCCCTCCTCATTTTTACAGCATTTGGAGTATGTTTCTTTTTAAATAAATAAATATGAAATAAATATTTTTCTGTTTTATTTGTTCAGCATAATCACAAACTTGATATGAGAGGGTCCCCCCAGGGAAAAAGGGACTCTCCAAAACTCCAAAATCAAGCCACGGCAAGTACAGTACATTACTCAACTCCACAGTTAGAAACAGCGTTTTTCTTTACTGATGCATCGTATCGGGGCTTTTCTTCAGAGCAAGGATGAGTACAGTAACGTCTGGCAGTCTCTGCAGAACTCTGGACCACCCAACAAACCCCCAGCACACTGGCAGAATGATGTAAGCTCTATCAGAAAGTGTATAAAGTCTACTGAGTGTGCAGATTGTTTATATATTTAATTGTGAAAGTAATGAACAAACATAAATTGCATGTTTTAACTTAGCGTAAAAGATAAACAAAAAATAACCCAATTGAAGCTTTTTTGTAGTGGAATGTTTCAATAAATCATTGCAGCCTTTGTTTTTGTATATTTGATGTTAATAGCAGGCTCGAGCTGGTGGTATTAGGCTTTTGAAGAAGAATGAAGACGCTTCCTCCATTTTACCCACACAAAACGCCACACAAAAGGTACAAGTTACAGTTTTTCCTCCTTATACTCTCCTACATTTATGTGAACTCACTATTTAATACTTCTTTTACTCTTCTAGACCTCGACTGAGTTTGAGAACCTGTTGGCCAACCTCAAGATTTCAGCTCCAAAAGACCTGACTGCATCTCAACCTGCTCCTTTTCAGACGTCCGCGAGCCAGGCAGATGAGCCGCTATCGCCACAGTCTTTTGCAATGGTGAAAATGAATGTTGTCTCATTTTTCTTCTTTGTGGACTGAAAACATAACCCGCTGTGCCGTTTTTATAGAAGGGCACCATGGTCCTGAAGGAGATGCTGAAGATAGACAGCGGAGACACTGGAAGCTCCTCAACGTCAGACTCTGCCCACACTGATGGACAACAGCAGAGCAGGAGACGGTCGTCCAAAAAACTAGGTACAAGAAATGCAAAACCTGCCACAGATTTTCACTGAAAACCTGTCACTTCCTGTTCAAGTTTTAGTTTTTGTCTCAGTCTTTTGAATCGCTTTGAAATTTAGTCGAGTTTTTGTTATCCTATTTGATTTAGTTTTTGTTTAGTTTTACTTGACTAAAATTAAAACCTTTTTTGTCGACTAAACTTTATACCGAAGAGACTTTATAATGAAGAACCTGCAGGTTTTTATAGTAGCTTTTTTTAGTACAACTACTTTATCGATGTTAAGTACTTGGGCAGAACAGCGTTTGCGATCGAGGGAGCCGAGTGTTAGGAAACATATTACTGCGCTGTGATTGGCTCTCATCTCTCTCATTCCGTCTAATGTTCGCCAGTGCTTGTTTTAGTCTAGTCTTTTATGTTTTTGTCAATTTTTTTAAGCCACCAGAAAGTCATTTTCTTGATTTAGTTTTTGTCTTGGTCCACAAAAATCCTTTGTTGACCAATTACTTTTGTCATGGTTTTTGTCAACAAAATAAAACACCGGCGTCTTTGTCACAAAACATACTCCTTTACTAAACGTCAGGCTGTAATTCACTATTATTTTGATAATCAGATTATTAGATCCCAGGAGTTCAGTGAATATAGGATTTTCTTATACAGCTCAGTGCAGCGCCTGGAGAACATCTTCACATTGTCTTGTTACACATTTGGTATTTGGATTGAAAACACAAACACATTTTTATTCTATCCTGCAGTCATAGAATTATTATAGAGCCATAAAACGTCTTCTCAGCATAAGGTCGCGTTTGATCAGTTGAACTTGTTACTGCCCAAATGAATAAATGCATCGTTGTACGGCATTCATTCGATCGTTTATTTTGTTCTAGCTGCCAAAATCAACGCTCCTCACGGGGACAGCCCTCCGACGACAGCGGCTGCTCTTCCGCCGCAGCTCCCGGTCCTGAACAGCAAAGTATCGGAGCTGGCGTGTGTGTGCGCAGGGATCGGCATGGCACCTCCCGAGTTCAGCTTCATCGGCAACAGACAGGTACGACCAGATTCAGATTCATTTTATTTGCCATTTGCAGTAAAACCACATTGGAATACATTTGCGAAAGTCCCCAGTGTGCACCAGACAAGTACGTAGATGAACAAGGTTAGAAATACGGGATACAAAGCGAACTAAAGAAAAGTGCAGGAAAGAAGGAACAAGGCTTTTACAGGGGCCAGCAGAGCCATTGATTGTCTTAAGAGCTCGGTTTAAAAGTCTGGATTTATAAAGAACCTCCTGAACAGCTCACAGTCCTCTTTCAAAGCCGAGCACCTTTCTTTGGCTGTGATGTCACCAAACCTCACAATCACAGAACCAACATGCATATTATCAATGGTGCAGCAATAAAAGTTTCGCAGGATCTTTTACCACAAACTCCTGATCCACTTGATCAGGAGTTTGTGGTCAGTTCTCTAAGTTTCCGCAGAAAGACCAGTTCAAATAATGGTCTTCGGTGCGACTTGTTCTTTGTGCTGATTTGAATGTGTCCTGGTGGATTGTCTCGGCAGAGTGTGGTGTGCCAGGTGAAACTGTCCAACGGTCTGATGGTGCACGGACCCCAGTGTCAGTCGGAAAACGAGGCCAAGGAGAACGCGGCTTTCTTCGCTCTGCAAAGACTGGTGCGTGATCGCAACGAGGGTTTAACGTGAAGTCAGAACTTGAACTTAACGTTTTTGGATTCTGTTTCCGTTCCAGAACTCTGTGGGCTCAGGTTTACCTCTGCCTCATCCCGCACTCTACCCTGGGATTCCACAGATTAGGCCGCCGCCGTTAGGGCCCATGAATCCAATGTTCAACAAAGCAGGTGAGTGTAGTGCAACTTCACACTCGATGATCATGACAATAATGGACATTTCAAAGGTTTATTCATGGAAGCTAATCTAAATGTTTTAACCCACTGTATTGAAATTGAACTTGTTGCTGTTTTTAGAAATATAAAAAAATTGTATGAATATTGAAAAACAAAGATACCCTTTTCCATGGAAAAATGAAGACAGGGTGAAATCCGAGGCACTCTGATAAAAGTCCTTTAATAGAGAAGGGACCAACGCGTTTCGGCCACGCAGGACCTTCTGCAGTGAACACTGCCCTGCGTGGCCGAAACGCGTTGAAGAGCACCTGATTTTAATTACGTCTTTGGACCCTGTAACCAGGGGGGTAGCACCAAATTCTGGGCCCCGGGTACAAACAGACTCGATGGGCCCCTACAAAACGTTTCATGTATATTATATTTACATATGTATATGCATTCATTACGAAAAAAAGAACGCAATTGACGCATGTCCGATGCCCATGCATCCCATAATATCACTCAGAATGCAGTGGACACGTGTGTGTGTGAGATGGCAACAGATCAGAGCAGGTCTCTGGGAAGTTAAAAAAGAATACACGCGTGGCCGCGAGGTACTTGCTGCTGTTTGCTATGAATTGAACAGGAGCGCATCCTCCTGCAGCGTTTTGACCCGGGGCAGCTGCGAGCTGCTAACAACACAGCGAACGGCGCCGCCGTAACGTGATCATATCCAAGACCATGCACCCATAGAACTATTCTCTTCAATTTGTGTGCGTGTCTTACCTGTGAGTAACATGTGCACGCAAACACGCCGCTGAAGCTGGACCATGTCCCCCCTGTGTCTCCTTCTGAAACGCAACTAAACTCGCAAAATTCAAGCTGGGGTAAAATGTTGCGATCAAATCAAACTGATTTAATGACATTCTGCCTCAGACAGTTTTGAAATGTCCCACATCTATAATAACAATAGTTTTGGTCTGTCTAAACAGAAAGACAGAATGTTATTAATGTTAGTGCCATTTTATATGGATTTATTGTTATAATAAACAAATACAGTACATATGTACACTATGTGGTCATTTATTTATTTTTGTCGATAGTTAGAAATGCGATTAATTACAATTAATTTAAAAACATTTTTTTAAACCTGCACTACTATTGACACTAATATTGACACTTCTTACTGCCTCTTTCTAATTGCCACTTTTGTAAATATATTCTATATTTCCTGCATTAACATGTTTGCACATTTCTTACTTTTTGCACAATTCTGAGTGTTCTATCCATGCCAAATGGATTCTCCTGTTGTGAGATTAATAAAGTTAATCTTAATCTTTTAGCTGTAATTAACTCGATTAAAAATGTTGATCGCTTGACAGCCCTAATATAAATAATATACTGTACAGACCAAAAGTTTGGACACACTTTCTCATTCAATGAGTGATCTTTCTTTTCATGACTAATGCTGTAGATTCACACCCAGACTGTGTAAGGGCTATTTGAGTCTGAATCTACAATTTTCATAGTCATAAAAACAAAAAAGAATCATTGAATAAGAAGGTGTGTCCAAACTGTTGGTCTGTACTGTATGTATGTGTATACATATATATATAATATATATATATATATATATATTCGCATATCAATATTTGACCTGAGAGCAGTGAGAAGTTTTTTTTTTCACATGGATTTTTAGTTGAATTGAATAATGACTGAATATATAAGCTTAAGCAACACATGTTCATTGAGGATGATAAGGGGATCAGACGGACTTCTTTCCTATCAAATAACGTAGCTTTCATAGCCTCCACACTCTGACAACAACAGACGCTTTTTATAACAAAAATCCACTGCACTAACAGTGAGCATTGCAGCTTATATAATACGTTTTTTATGTGTGCATTCGAATTAAAACATCAGCTCACAGACCTGTGTCGCTGCTCCTTCTGCTCCTCCTTCTCTGAGGAGTTGTTCGCTGCTCCTCCTCCTCACACACCATAGCTCCCGTTATTGTAATAGATCCATGATAGATCCACACAGCGCTCTTTCCCGTCTCTAATTATGTCTCTAATTTACTCAGATTTCTTGGTCTATGCATTAATATAATAGATCCATGGTCTATGCTTGTTATGACTTACTTTTGAACAAGAAAAGTCACGGAGTTCATTTGGCGCGCTAGTAAAATCGGTCCGTGTGAAAATCATTCTCTAGTGAGGAAGGTTCCGTGGTGGAAAAAACACATGCGATTAAAATGCGCCAATTTATTTAACGCACTAATTTTTGTGGCGTTAATTAATCGCAATTAACACGTTAAAGTCCCGGCCCTACTTTTTTCCTGTCCTGATGTTGCCTAAACACGACTCTATATCCCCACCTCTATTGTGGAAGAACTAAGTAAGCAATTGCTTACTCTCATTAAACTTTTTCCCCTTGTCCTGTCTTTCTTTTCTTTTCTGAAATCCTAATTATTCTTGGAACAGACATTTTTTTTTTTCCCCGTTTCTGCCGCTGCTTGTCACACACGCTGCAGCGACAGCAACAAGCGCACATGTGGGTCGTACCATTTGTAATTTTGTAAGGGGGTGGCAGGGCCCTGATATAGCATACAAATTAGTTTTTAGACGAAAGCTGAGTTTAAAATGTTGGTTATTATTATGCAAGGCCCCTTTTATTAAAATTGAAATAACATGAAAATGCCACAATACGTATTACATTTACATATATAGACATACTTTAGAGGGCCCCTCCCCGCCTTGGGCCCTGGGTACTCGGTACCCTTTACCCCCCCAGTCCGACGCCCATGCCTGTAACACTCACTCCTCCTGTTTTCTGAGAATTGTATGAATATGTTGATACACATTTTGGAGAATTATGTGTATGACTAATTTGTGTATTTGTGTATTTGTGTAGGTCTGCTGTTGCCTCCACGGGGCTATGGTCCTGGTCCTGGTCCTCTGTGGGGGATGGCCATGCCGCCTCATCATCCACAAAACCCACAGTTCTATGGAGCAACAGGAACTTTCCCTGGAGCGATCCGTCCTCCACCCCCAGCGGTGGCACCTATGGGATCTCACAACCAGTTCATCCCACTACAGGTGCACAAACTTTCTTCTGTCAAATACGAATACAAGCAAAACGCGCTGTTCTCAAAGCTGTGTAGCTTTTTAACCTTTTCAAATTTAAATTTGGATTTCTGGTCTCTTCTTTTTTTTTTTAAGTTTTTAAATTATGTTTGTCCACATTAGTGTAATATAATTGCAGAACTGTGCATTGGGCCAATCAAGTACGCAGGAGTTATGTTATGTTCAATAACACTGGGTAACAAAAAAATATGTTTTGAAAATAGTCCAGGGTTTTCCAGCTGAATTAGACTAATTTTGATGCGAGCTTTTTGGTGCAATAAGGGGAGATTTTAATGATAATGTTGAGTCCAAAAATGACCTTGGTTTTGCTCAATCAGGTCAGGATTTTTTGCTACAGAAATATTTTTTTAAAACGATTTTGCATAAAAAAAACATTTCTGCTGATCATCAGCTGAGAAACCCTTGACGTTTTTTCCGTTTTCCTCAAGAAATAAAAGCCAACGTATCCAAAGTCATTCAGTTTTTATTTACTCCATCAAATTTGATAAGCAGAATTCATAATAACGTAGACGTACGTAATCCGTAACACTATGGCTGTATCTCAAAAAATTGACCTGATAGAGCAAAATGCATGTGATATTCGGACTCAGAACACCAAAATTAGTCTAAATCATTTGAGAAACCCCTGACCATTTTTTGGCTGTCAACTTGTGTAATCAAAGTCTAGTTCCAGGCCATCTCTGCACAGTCAAGTCTTTATGGCACTGCCCCTTCCTGTGCACACGAGATCTGGACCCCAGGCGCATGTAGAAGAGCAGAAGCATGTGTCTGAGTAGATAGTGTAGTCCGATCATTGCTTCTACTAACCCACAGTCGAGTTTGTGCCCATAGTCTTTATTGTGCTTGTCAATATGCCACAATATGCCATTTTCAAAATGCCTCTCACAGTACAGCACAATGCTGTTCATTTAAATGGCTGGGTGTTGTTTTTGATGTTTCATGATGTCAAACTGTGCAGCATGAAGTGGAGGAATTAACTAATTAAGCTCCTTGTTGAAAAAAAGCTAATTGTGCAAAACGTTCTGGAACATTGGAACTGTTGGGCATACAGCATGTTTAGAGAAACTCACATTCATTTCACCTAATCCTGAAATTCAACCTGAAAGCTGAATATTCTTGCGTTTTGTGTGTCGCAGAGTCAAATGGATGAGTTACTTGACGTATTTGACTACATTAGTGGTTAATCCTAAATCTTTCTTCTTCAGGTAACAAAAAAGAGAGTTTCAGCCAACAAGAAAAACCAGGACAGAGAGTTTTACAATGCAGCCCAAACTGTTGCTAGAAACCAAGATCAGAAATCTCCAAATCCAGCTGTGGACCAGTCCCAGGGTCAAAGAAATGCTGCATTAGAGAACAGCCACATGTCTGAGCCCAGTCAGTCTGCAGCAGTGCCACAAACTCCCCACAGACAACCGCCTCCTTCCTCCGGACACACCTCCGGCTCTGCTTCCAAGAGGAAACATCGCAAACTGGCCGTAAACTTTGAGGCGGCCAAAGTGGCCGAGTCGTAAGCTGCGGTGAGACGGTGTGGGACAGGTGCTGCTCAATGTCATGTTATTAAAGAGTGAACTTCCGTCATTGTAAGGCCCACATTAAAGTAACAGTGCACAGATGGGATCTCATGATATAAACATGATTTTTGGGGAAATGTATAAAAGCACATATGTGTTTGGTCCCAATCGCTTTCTTCTTTGAATAATTCTTTAAATTACATTTGTGGTGTATAGTGGTCTGGGAACTCAAAGAAGTGTTTCATTAAGTGTCTCTGTGCCTTCTGACAATTAGAACTAAATATTCATTACACTATTTGCTGTTTTACGTTCCCAAAATTTCACTAACCAATTTTTTGGTTTGCGTTGCATTGGTCACATTAGAACATTGAGTCTGAGCAGATAACTTGAACTTTTCAACAAAATCTTCATTTCATGTTCTTTCCTTGCTGCCTATTTGTCTACTCTTGTTATCGAAAAGCAGGTTTAATTAATTTATTTTGTTGAATGCAACTCATTATGATTGAATTTTTACCGGCATTGTTTTTAGGAACCAGATTATGCAATAGGAAATGCAAACCTCTTGTCATTATTTCAATATGCCAGGTGCTGAAATAATGAGCTAAATATGAAAGAAATTTGAGCATGCAAGAGAAATTAAATGCGTTGGCTAAGTTTGTATTTATTTGTTATGTTTGGTCCATGTGATTGCAGTTTCCTGACGCCTTTTTTAAAGCTGTGAGCCTTTTAAATGTGTTGTGTTTATACCTCTAGGTGGCGCTGTGGTCACTACACCCTTTTTGGTTCTCATGGTGCAGTTAATGACGTGAGCGTACATTGTCCAAACTACAGTTTTAACTGAACGAAATGCAGAAAAGGGGCTGTGTGTCGTTATATATATATATAAATATATATATATATAAATATAATATATATATATATATATAATTATATTATAATATAATATAATATTTATATATATATATATGTTCAGAGAACACAGGATAAAAGTGACCTCATGATTATGACAAACTGAAAAACATCCAGATTGTCATGTGCCTTTTGTCCTATACTTTACAGACGATTGATCATTCTTTAGCATGTATCATGGCCTGACATTGAATTAAAAGATTCACGTAAAGGATAAAAGATCACAGTTGGGTTAGATGTGCTATTTTAAACTGATCATTGAATCATTGATTTGGCCGTATCCATCTGACTCCGGATTCCACTGAAGCGTTCACCTTTATTACATTTGTGCTAAAAACGTATCACATGACCACCTTCTTTTAAGTGAAAACTGTTATGGCAGGTTTGAACATAAACAAATGTTTGCTGTGAATTAGAATTTACCAGCATTACACAGATGCAGAAAATGTTTTTTTCATTTAAATATTTTAACTGCATTAAATTGGCTCTATGCATATTTTAATCTAAAAATATGATAAGATGTTTTAAATTCAAGTTTAAATCAGTTATTCTATATAAAATGAAGCTCTGATATTTATTTTTTATTAGGGTTTAAACTATATTTTTGTATCTGTGTAAATGAAGCCAAAGATGACACATAATGTATACTTTGACTATGGCATGAATAAATGTATTTGGCATCACAATTTCATTATTTTCTTTGTACATATTTGGCTTTTATCTTCCCTTTTATAAATGACCATTGAATTATTTCAATTATGTTTTTGTGGATGAGACTCGGATGCTTTAGTGGGAAGTATTTGTGTTTTAGTTTCTTACTTTGAAACTGACATTGATGTGTTTTAAAGGTCACGGTAACATGTCCCTGTGAGGGTCTGGTGCAATAAGGGGAGATTTTAATGATAATGTTCAGTAAGAGCACAGAAGATGATTGTCTCTCAGTGTTTGAATATTGACTAAATGTTCTAAAAAGGATTGTGCTGTATATATCCAGTAATAAAGTAATTTTGATTTGCTAGAAGTTTTTGTTTTGTTTTTCCCCACCTGGCAGATTCTTCACTTCATCTGATGGATGCATAAAATGTACTTTGCTCAACTTTTAACTGGTATCTTTTTCTCAAAAGTACTTTTCTTTAAGACACTTAAACTAGAATTTAAAATGATGCTTATACTACAGCATGTCGGGGTGTGTGTGTGTTACAAGACAAACATCTTAATTCACTTAAAAAACACAAAAAAACACATTTATTTAAAGCACCATCTATCAGTACAAATTATTTTACATTGTCAAAAGAAGTCAAAGCTGTGCTGTTATCTAAAACGAACAGGCAAAGTGGTGGAAAAGTAAAAACAAAAAAAAGATGGCATATAATCATAACTTGTCACAAACGGTTGGGCACATTATCAAAACACTTGAACTAAAGCTGATGGTGACGGTGAGCAGCATTCCATGAATTTAAAGGAACTGACCTTTCTCATGAAACATGAAGGTCACACTGTTGACCATTTGTCAGAAGACTCCAGAAAACTAAACAAATTTCAATATCTTATGGTGAAAAATACATAAAACAGAAATCAAAACATCGGACAACCCAGCTGTCGGACTAAAGATTATTCTGTGAATAATATCCTAATATCACCCTCCTACCATCAAGAAGTCTGCAGTGCAACAGTAACCTACGGTTAGTACAATGTGACAAAATGCCTGGCTAAAAAGTAGCTGGACGGAAGAAAAACGATAATAAAATTTAAAGCTGCTTTTTTTTGGAAAACTATTTCAGTGAACAGCATTGATCATCAAATGCAGTACATCTTAACATAGAGGCCAATTTGGATGAAACACGTTAGCCTGTTAGCTTTGTCACAAGACAGCAAATAGATACTCCGTGTAACAAAAATTACATTGACATTGTATTTTCAGAATAACAAACATGATTAAATAAAACTAAACATAATCTAGCTGCAACAACAGTGTGTAATTTAATACTGATCATTATAGAACAAAATAGGTCCTAAATGTCTAAAAAGACAATACAAAAATCTGTCATACTACTTTCATCTTGAGAGGTGCCCTTTCACTTTGTTCTGAAGTCGATAGTGTCACTTTGTGTGGTGTATGTGCCTGGATTCAATCTGGTTTGCTCCGTTCTCTGTGGATGTATCAGTGTTCAGGTCCTTTTGGGGTGACTGTGGCCCACATAGGTGTTCTCTATACACAGCACAATGTAGTGGTTGGAGCAGGCGCGTGTTTGTTGTCCGAGGAGACGTCCCGACTGGAGCAGAGCGGCCTGCCCCGTCACAGCCATGTCCCCGGTCCTCCACGCCTCGCAGTAGTTTGTGGTGAGTCTGATGCCTGCTGGACTGGAGCCGTGCCATATCAGCTTCTCTGGCCTAGTGAGACAAGAGCCAGATGATTCACAAGAGCTGCTTATATCCAGGTATATGTTATGTATTTTTTGTGGTTTACAATCAGCAAATGACACAGACCGCAATTATTGAAGTTATTTGCCCACAAATAGTGTCATAGTGTGGATTGTTATTTTGTACTTAGGTATTTTTTTTACATCTGTTCTCTGTGGTTTGGTTGTAGTTTGACTTCCTGTCTTGTTTCCCCTGTCTTGATTGTCTGCCCCGCCCTGATGTGTTTCACCTGTGTCTCTGTGTACATTTGTACCTGTGCTTCTCTCCCCTTGTTGCTGGTCCATTGTCTTGTCAATGTCTGTTCCATACTGTTCCTGGTTCCTTTTTGCTCGTGCCTTTGGATTTTGAGTTTGTTTTCCCCTGGACTTTTACTTTATTATAAACCATTATTTTTTTGGCATTCCTGCATTTTCAGTCTTTCCTGCTTCTCACCACATGACAAATAGGAACTAAAGATAAGGAACATATGACTTGGAATTGGGAGACATTTTCTTGATTTGAATATATTTTGAAGGTTTGTCAATGAAACAAGCAACAGTCTCTTTCTTGTTGTCGGGCAGAAGTAATGTTTTTGCAAAAAAGACAGCATCTTTTACATAAAGTATATAGACTGTCTACATGTGGCAAAACTCATTATCTGACTGTTAGAACTTGTTTGGAGGCGACAGTGGCTCAGTTGGTAGAGCATTGGTCTTTGGGCCTGAAGGTCCGAGCCCACCACAAGACCTACTTCACGAGACCCACAGATGTCTGCTGTCGTTGTGTCCTTGGGCAAGACACTTAACCCCACTTTGCCTGAAGCCCCCACTGAAAGATCAAGGCTCCTGTGGACTCACCACCTGCAGGAGGATCAGTGAGGGGCTGGTGCTCTGTGAATTGGGTGAAGCTCTGACTGCCACCCCTGACCCAAAATGTATTAAGGCGGGGAAGAAAATAGATGGATAAATAAAACCAGGCCTTTAGCTGCCAAGACTCATTGTACTCATTGTTTAAAATCTGAAATATTCTAAAATCCTACACGATTTAATCATTTGATACATTTTTGCATAAAACCTTACCATGCAGGTTCAGTCAGACACTTACCATGCAGGGTCAGTCAGAACATCGTGGCCGTCAAAGGAGTAGATGGGGACAGAGGGGTTGAAGACGCCTCCTTTCCCAGAAAATATGGACATCCAGCTGTCGAATAAGACCTCTCCCTGCACAGAGACATACATGTCTCATGACACAGATGATATAATGCTTGAGATAAATAGGACACATTCTTAAGTTTGACACAAAACAGTTTTTTAATGATATTTAGTGATTCACACAACAAAATAAAGAGTTATGAGCATTGGAGAAGTTTTGCCACAGTTTATTATGCGATTCCTTAGGGGCCTCTTTGCGTGGTGTCATCAATCATAACCAGGAAGTAAAACTTTAAATCTAGAAAAATAGTCAAACTGGGATGAAACTTAAAAAGTAAATAGCACAATGTTAAAATAGCAATCTGTAAGATTTTCATGTCAAGTCATCATTAAATGGCCCTAATCTGTCAAAAGGCATTAATAAATCTTGCTCTTTTTGAATACTTCTTTAACTGATAACAGTAGTTCAACCAAGATATTTCAATTTCAAATTAGTTTTACAGCCCCTAAATCTTGTTACAGTTTTCATTTCGATGTCCCGCCCTCCACTGTTTTACCAATCAGAAAGTCTGTAATCCGGGTTGCCAGAACTCGCGGCGTGTCGATTTAATCTCACTGGTAAAGTACTATGTGGATTTAGAACTAAAAAGGTCTCACAATCATTCTCAAATCATTAACGACAAACCAAGGACCAAACGTTGATTTCTATCAGGGCCTTTGTGAAAATGGTGTTGGTTATATATATTTTTTGGACAATAGCTGTAATTCTACTATTAGGGTCTGGGCTGGATTTGTCTGCATATCTGGCAACCTGAGTCAGGGAGAGTGAGAGAGGTTGCAGTACTACTTTTGGCCAGAATTTAACATATTGCTCCTTTAAATGTAATTATGTCAACTGTCATAAAGCCCCGGTGATCCAAGATGGCGCTCTACTCAAATGAATGGCTTATGCTCAGTAGCTCATTGGAACATACACGGGGACCGAAAGATTAGTGGAACTCGCCCATATTTGGGCATCGTCTGGTCCTCCCAGTTCTGTGCAGTGGACCAGCTCCCATGATGCGTTGCGCCAAAAAACGTGTGTGTGGCTCGGCCCCTCTCGCACGTGCACAGAGGGGCTCGGCCACGCTTTGACCAATCAGAGCTGCTGATCAGGGGAGAGCTAGAGCAGGAAGGAAATGAGCAGTGTTTGTGGCAGTAAAGTGTGGATTTAAAGAAAACCGAAGGATTTAAAAAGAAAAAAGTTCAGGATTACAAGGGACACTAAAACCCCCACAAAATCTGACCTTTATGAAAGCTGTTTGTTCTTTGTCAGCTGAGGTCGAGCTGGTTTAGTTTACAATGAGTTATATGGGACTTTTTTCTGCGTAGCCCACGTGAATTTAGTCTGCAGTACCACGGGTGCCCCCTGTGCCCATGGGTGGGACAACTATAAGCTAGTACCACCCTATCCAGTTTTTATTATAGATCCATGGTTGTCATACACACTTCAAAAACAGTAATTCGTATTATGTTAAGTTCTCACCCTCATATTGACCACAGGCATGTCATTGCGGTCAGTCTTTCTCACTATAGTGGCCAGGTCCTGCAGGTGTGAGGAGAGGAAGGCCCTGTACGTGGTGGTCAGCCCCATGGAGCGAGCCTGCTGGTAGCACTGGAAGTCGGCCCCCCTGATGCCCCGCATGTCTCCCTTCAGTGGTGTATTCAGAGCGACAAGATGAAGCTGCAATAGAGTCCAAGCCTTAGAGCTGATTCATCACAAGATGGAGGAACAAACTGAAGTACATCTGTTGGGTTTTCTCATACTAATGTGCACTCACCCCAGGGATAGCGTTGAAGGTCTGTGGCAGGACGTTGTAGCTCGGCTGGTAGCCCCTGGAGCTCTCCTGCAGCTCCTGTGGTGGATGCACACGGGCTTTATTAGTTAAGTGATGCTTTCGTTTCAAATATTACTGTGGATTGTGTGTGAACCTGGCTGTGGATTCTGTGCGGTCTTCCTCTGTCTCCGGGTCGACTCAACGCCTGAGATGAAGCTGAAGGCGGCTGGATCAACTCTCCAAGCTGAAACGTAATCATGGTAATAAACAACAAATAAATGAGAACCACTACATTAAACAGTTGCCTCAAACCCTGTAAAAAGTATTAATGCTTACAAAGAAGGAGGAGATAGCAGTTTTTTCAAGAAATTATACAATTCAATTTTGAAATCAAGATTTCAAAAGGCTGTAACTTTTAAGTGGTTTGAGTTAAAGGAATACTGTAAATTAGAAATATCTTCAGTGTGAACTAAAATTTGGGATGGAGGTTGATTTGTCATCTAATTTGTATATTGTGACGTCGTCAAGGTGAGATAAGGTAATACTGTCAACAGTTAATGTGAAATATATTTTGTATCAAACAAAATTTGGGATGGAAAAAAATAAATTCACTGATCCTATTTGTATAATCTTTTAGCACTGGTCGGCAGCCATATTGAATTGTATTATTTTCAAAGTCCTCCAATGATCAACATGGCACTCCTTATAGTTTACATGGTCATGTATTTTGCGACTGTGATAATTAAATGGTTAAATTAAGAAACAGCAGTTAACAGGAACAGTGAGGTTCAGTGGAGAAAACAGAGAGCCCCGTTTGACAACAAGATCCCTAAAGGAACATTGTGTTGTAGACACTGGAATACTTTTTAACTATTAAGAAACACATAAACAATTATAGTCTTCTTGGAATCGAGTGAAAACCTCCCCCTTTACTTTTGGAGAGGTTATCATGATTTCAAATCGATGTGGTTCTGGCCGGTCAGAAAAGCCAGTTGCATTTTGCAAACAATCCCAAAAAGGTGCAAAGGAATATTAAGAGTGCATTCACACTTGTTGGTCTGGTTCACTTTAACTGGACCCAGTCTGGTTCACTTGACAAAAAATGTCTCACAGATCAGTTTCAAAAGATGTACAGTAGACTAAAGTGACTAGTTGACACATGATCACTACTGTGGTTTCACATTTACAAAATACTTTTATCATTCAGAATCCAAATCAACTTTTTGAGATGTTTTGAGGCTTTGTTTGATTCAAGGTGTCCATTCACACCTGTATTTTCTTCCAGCCGTGGCGTGCCTTGATGAACAGCTCTCCTCCATGCTCTGACACATACGCCAGCGTTCCCTCTGCAACTCGCGGTGCTTCTCTGCTCAGAGCATGGGAAGTCTTGTAAGTTGTGATCTGCAAAAAGGACAATTACACAGAAGATTTTAAAGTTTTTTTCAATTTCAAGGATAAACTAAATATATATTTCATTGTTAATTTCAACAATAATTGTGTGTACCGGGTTTGTATATCCTGGAGGACCGGGAGGACCAGGTGGGCCAGGAACTGTGACTATAGATAATCAATATAACACAGATGAATATGAATTCACACATGTTCTGGTTCATAATGTTCCAGTATTTACCTGATCCATAGGCAAACTCCGATCCTGGAGGTCCAGGAGGCCCTGGAGGACCTCTCGCACCTGGGCGTCCAGTCCCAGATGCACCAGGCAGTCCTGGAGGGCCTACAGGACCAGGGGGCCCCACAACAGACTCTCCCTTCGGACCCTAGGACCACATGCGTGATGACCACATGTGTCTCTTTGACTCAAACTCCTGAATAATCAACAAAGACTCACCACAAGTCCAGACCGCCCCGGCAGCCCTGGAGGACCAGCAGGACCTGTGTTTCCCTTCTCTCCCTTCTGCCCGGTATAGCCCTCAGCACCCTTTTCTCCACGATGGAGCTAGTCAAAAAAGGTAAAACTATGTAAGTAACAGTACTAATTACAATCTTTATAGATCGCAAATAACTCACCTCAGCTCCATCTGGAAGTCCTGTACAAAAACACAAAATGGTGAATCTTTGTCACAATATTTTGTTTAATGATAAAATGTACTATAATCACCAAATACAGCTGGATCCCCAGGTAATCCAGCCTCTCCTTTGTCTCCTTTAGCACCCAATGAATATGAACCCTTTAGAAATAGGGAAGTCTTTAGTAGTTAAGTCGTTTACTTTGATTTTACATTAAATGAAAAACCATAAATTACCACACACTCACAACAAGCACATCCCAGTTTAAGGGGTGGTTAGGGTAGATGTGTTACTGATAACACCAAATACAATACTTACCTCAATTAGTAATTGTATACCATAGAACAGGGGTCATCAACCTTTGTAAAGCCGAGGGCTAAAAATTACCAACTGACTCTATAGGATTACTATTAATGGTGGAATTACAATGGTTTATGGGGAATTGAAATGGGGAATTGTGTCTAGCCCCAGTGATTTATATTTTGTCTAATGGATTAGGATTTTAAATATGTTAAGTTCAACAATTACTATACTAGTCTAATAAATAGAACTGGGATGCTAATGAAACTTTTATTTTATGTTCACTATTGCTGATTCCAGCTATGTTTAACAGAATCCAACTTTCAAAACACTAAAAATCTAGTTATGTAATAAAAACCGATTTCACAAGTTCCTGGATAAAAGAGCAGGTTTTATTGCTAGTTTGGTACTTTTTTGTACTTTTGCCTTGTTTCACAAAGAAATTTAGATAATTTTTTTAGACTTACTCTGCCAATCAGCAGCTCTCAGCTCAAACTGTCAAATAACTCCTGTCCATGCAAAAGATATTATGTGTTCTAATAAGATAACACCATGCTGTGGTCTGATTTGTTCATAGAAAAATACTTTGGGACAAAAAGTAAGTCAAGTTATGTACCCCAGCTTTAAAAGCTTCCTTGGCTCAGTCCTGTAGGCCCAGTCTGGCTTAGAACTTGGTTCAGAGCAGCTTACAGCTTTATTCATAAAAACAAATGTCACATGTCTATGTTATATTCCATGAGCCTTTTGACAAGTTTCCGCCTCATTCCAATACCAGACTGTTTAGTGGGTCAGATTTTTGTGAATATTGACTATTTTGGATGCTTTTTCACAAAGCTTTGACTATCATCTGTTAAATGTACTGCATGTCAACAGGCTACCGGGTGACCAATGCTATTTTTATATAACACTTGGCGGGCGCCTTATGTGGTCCTTAAGGGTGGGCATTGCGTTGGTGACCCCTGCGCTAGAATAAATTATTCTCTTTCATCATTCACTTCTCCTGTTACTTTGGTTAGGTTACATTTAAGTTTGAGCTCAAGTATTTCAAACATACTATTCAACAGAACAGACATATACTATATGGAGATAATAAAGATCCCATCAATACAAGACAGCAAAGGGCTTATTCTATCAGCCCACCACCACAGCATAAGAAGACAGTAGGCCCACAACCTGTCACCATGGAGTACAATTTTGAGTTTTTGTACTCATATTGTTCTGCGTGATGCAAATAATATTGTATCAACATATTTACGGCATTGTTTGCAAACATGACCTTTCCAACCTGGCATTAACCAAACAGTTGCACCACTGTTAATGCCATCATGGCCTCATAGCAGAAACAGGTGAAGAAGCAAGAAAGGTTAAAGCTGGGACCGTGCTGTTTGGAACCCGTTAGCAGCATGCGTTTGCACCCACACACCCACAGAACCACACTGACTGGGGCCCCACTACAAGGTGCAGTCAGGTGGTCTGGTCTGGACTTACTCGACCCGGTTTGCAGTGTGGTCGGGGGCGGACCGGAAAAACTGTCTTTAGGATTCAGAAAGAGCAGTTCAATCACACTCATTAAACAAATGTATATGTAAAAAGACTCATTGGTGGAATAGAAGGACCAATCTATTATGACAGTTGAGTTTTAACAGCTTGATCCACTACTTTTACTATTGCTACTTACCCCATTGAGCCCGAATATCCTTCCTGGGGGTCCAGGTGGGCCAGGAAGGCCAGGTGGGCCCTAGAAATAAACCAAACAAAAAGGCTCAGGACAAGCTTTAGAAAAGACAATAAAATGAGCATGTCTGTTACCTGTGTGCCAGAAGAATCCCCTTTGTCTCCTTTTCTCCCAGGCACACCAGGTCTTCCCTTTAACAAAAGGCAAAAATATCTATCAAACATAAGTCTCTTTTTATTGGTATTTTTTTGTTACTTGCAAAACCAAAATGTTGACGTGCAACGGATACTCACTGAACGACCAGGGAATCCATACTCTCCTTTTTGTCCTATTGGTCCAATTGGTCCCTGAAAATATGTATTAATTTGTATAAATGTGTAAATAAAACAAAAATGATAGTTTCTGAAATAAATAATACATTTGAACAAAATATATGAAATATAAATATCAATTGGTGGGTCAATCAAAAAAATATGGACTCACCATAAGTCCAGTGGGGCCTGGCAAACCACGATCACCCTGCATCACAACAGTTAGCTCAATTAAAATGTTGATTATGTCCAGTTGTATGAATGTAGTAATGAACAATATAAGTATTTTGCCTTCACTCCTCTCGGCCCGATCGGACCTCTTGGTGATGAAATAATGGATCCATCAGCAGCTATTGTAACTCCTGGCTCCCCTTTCTCTCCCTGGTGACAGAAGACTTATGTTATCAGAGTAGACCACTTCTTCACAAAGTCCATATATTCAATTCAATTCTGTTTATTTACAAAACTTCAACAAGTCATACACATTACGCTGATATCAAAAGTGCTTTGTAAAAGGGAAGCTGCATTAGCCCAAATATTACCTTGAGCCCAGTTAAACCATGAACTCCTTGACTACCCATGTCTCCTTTTGGTCCTCGAGGTCCCTGAGAAATAAAAGTACAATATATTATTTTAAGCCATTGATTTGTAATTACTGTCCAAGATTCCCCATAAAGGGATTGAAATAGCTTAAAAATATTCAGACCCCAAGAACTTTTGTGTGAACATATTTTGTCAGATCATAACCACAAACATGAAGATAGTTTATCAGCATTTTAAGTGACAGACCAAGGCAACAGGACGTCAGTTGTGAAGTGAAAGCAAAGTGATTAATGACTCTAGTATTTTATTATTGTTGAGACTGATAAGACTACCAGCCCCTACTCCCGCATTTTGAAAAGTTCATTTTGAATGAAAATATTTGCATAACATTGTATAAATATATCATGAGATTGTTTGAAGAAAAAGTAGATCAAGTATACACTAAGGGTATAGGTCATACTGTACAATGAGCCCCATTCTCAGTTATTATTATGTGTGTTGCACATTTTTGTTAAAAAGAAAAACGTGTCCAGTGATGCGGCCACCCTGTCGGACAGTTTTGGTGAAATTATGGTGATATTTACATGAACACGTGCTGATTAATGATTAATGTATAAAGAGGGGGCTGAGTTGAAATGCAAAGTTCTAGAACATGGGTGTCAGGGTCAAGGCCCGGGATGATATTTGATTAGTATTAGAACCGGCCTGCACAGAACCATGAGAAAATATTGGATTATTAATTAAATGTTCAGGACATATGTTTTCTCTTTGAAGGAAGTTTGTTTTTGTCATTGAGCCTGTTAATATTGAATTATTAATTTAATCATTCAATAAAATACGGTACACTGTGTTAGGTCTTGGTTGAGTAGGTTATATGCAATTATCTTAAAGTCTGGTAAGTCTGGACGTCTCTGCTTTGATCCCAGCCCCTGCGACCCGGCAACGGGCAAGCAGAAGAAAATGTATGGATGGATAGTTGCATCGGAATCTGTCAATTATTATGATAAGCAATAAATATCATGATCAGATATAACACCAAGTAAATTCAAACAGTTGTATGCATCTTGTATCATAGTCCATAATAACAACTTACAGGAAATCCAGCTCTGCCAGGTAAACCCTCAGGCCCCTGAGTTCATGAAACAATGAAAAACAAAAATTGATAGTGTGTACATTTACGCAACACAGTAGATTTATGTTTGTCTTTACCATGGGTCCTGGTGGTCCTTTGATCTCAGTGAAGTTAAAAAGTCCATCTGTAACATTGAGGAGGAGCTGTAGGTGCAGAAAGAGTGAACAATGGCCAAGGGTCATAATAGAGATATACATATATACTGTATATATAAATACTATTGTACTAAACATAGTCAAAATGCGCCTGGCTCATACTGCAGACTTCAGTCTTGGTCCTGCTGGTCTGTGACTAAAACCAGCTGCTGTAGTCTCTGGCGACTATAGTTCTATTGTTTTAAGTACATTTTGTATGATGTTTACCCCCCCATGCATCACAGTAGGTATTGTGTTCTTTGAATGCAACTCAGCATTCTTTTTCCTCCAAACACGACGAGTCAAGTTTTTACCAAAAATTTCTAATTTGGTTTTATCTGACCATAGGACATTCTCCCAATGCTCTCAAATGCTTTCTAGCAAACTTCAGATGGTCCTGGCACTCCATTACCTACGTTGAAGCATGGGAGTGAAAACATCAGGCAAGGGCTGTTTTTCTGCAAAGGGACCAGGACGATTGATCCATGTAAAAGAAAGACATTTTTATCAAGCAATTAACAGTTATTTTCACTGCGGTGAAAGTAATCACCATGTCATCTAACTGACATCATGAAAACAAAAACAAAAAACTAACCTTTATTAGACAATTCAAGTAATTTCTACAATGTTAAATTCTTTACACTACACAGCAATAACAAAAGCATGCAGCATTCCTTTTCCTACAATTCTTTTTCAAAACAAATCAAGGGTTGCGAGTTAACTACGAAATTGATACGATTAAATATTTTAATCGCTTGACAGCACTAGTATATATAAATTTATATATATAGCCAGCTGCTCGTCAGCCCAAATATGATACACACGTGCCAGCAGTTGTGTTAATCTTTTGCGGTTGTGTTAAACGCACTATAAAAAATTTACACTGTTAAAACGGGTTTGCATTAACAACATTATTAACACATTTAACTGACAGCACTATACATACTGTATACGTATATATACAATATATACTGTATACATAGTGTTAAACGCGTTAATATATATATATATATATATATATATAATTATTATTTTTTTAAATATAAAGGCAACTGCAGTGTTGTACTTAATCGTTCAGAAATGTATCGTATGAAAACCTCCACACTGCAAAGTATCAGACCCCTTCGAGACTTTTGATTGTATATGAAGAGATTGCAGTCAAACTTACATCCTCTATATTAATAATTGGTCCAGGAGGTCCAGGAGGCCCAGGGGGTCCTGTGATACTGACTCTATCAGTGCCAGGCTCTCCCTGTGGAAACAATAGTTTCGACAGTTTGAGAATTTTGAGAAGCTTTAATTGTTAGTTATGTCAATCAGGCACAACTTTACCTTTTGTCCGAGGTTGCCTTTTTCTCCTTTACTTCCCTGTTAAAAGTAAAAAAAAACAACAGTATTTAGAAAGCAGAATGTAATGGCAAAACCATTTATATTTGGTCTTCTTACCCTTGGCCCTGGTAAACCAGCTGAACCTTGAATACCTGGTGAGCCTGGGTCTCCTTGCTCTCCCTGTGTCGCATAATGTGAAAATTTTATTGAGGATTTCTATCCATCTATGAAACATATAGTTTACTGAGACACACCTTTACTGAAAGTCCAGGGGCACCTGGGGCTCCATCCTCCCCCTTTCAAATAAATCAGAAAATCAGAATAAGAAAAAAATCCCACATACCAAAACCTTTAGGGTTTTTTTTTACCAAAAATTGTCTTTCCATTCACACTGCTGTAATTTTGACTCGGCTTTCAACTCACCTTTCTATCTAGTCTGTGTGCTCTGTAAACACAGCGGCCAAAGACAGAAATCTTTTATACACCAACTTGTTTTGTCACTCGGACCATCACGGGCTAACCTTTCCAATAGGAGGATCTTGGAGTGACGTTGTTGTTAATAGTTTTTCCTCGCCGGTCACGTGACCGGGTGGCAATACAGCATAGAAAGCTACGTGGATGCTAGAGAGTTAGCTAGTTTATGCGTTTGGAGAGAGGTTTTACAAAATCAAATGGTCCATTCTTGTTGTGTGGTCGGTTGTACGGCCAGCTGGTGACAGTTTACGTTTACGGCTGCGGTAAAGTGGTTGCCCTTTTATGCTGTTACCGACAGTAAATGTAGACCGGGAAGCCGGGGGGATGAGGCGATACAAATTCATAAACAAATTTAAGTTTTACAACTACTTTCACTGCACACTTATTCACTGTGATGATTAATTTGAAAAATTGCATTTTGGTTGCTCATCCCCGCGGCTGTCTGTTCAACGTTTACTGTAAGTAACAGCAAAAAGGGGCAACCCGCTTTTAATGTGCGGACCACTTTACCGTGACGGCAAAATGCCGGGCCACTTTCCCGCGGTCAAAAACGCGACCCTTCATGCGTGAAGGGTCCCGGGTTTTATATGAAGTAAGAATGAATGTCTCCCAGTCCCAACAGATCGGTGCAAAGACAGAGGTGAGTCTGACCAATGTTTCTCGTCATCCCAGGGATGTATGGGCTTTGGATTTGTTCAGTTCGGTCTCATACTGTATACTTATTTTTAGCTTGTCTATATATCTAATCTGATCTTCTTGCGTTAAAGGAATAGTTCACCGTTTTTACATACTGACATATGTTCTTACCTTACCTTAGACTAGTTAATATGTACCTGTCTGGTCTTAGTCCGTGCGCTCTGTCATGCAAACGGAGCAAAAACGGGAGCACAAACTAACTTCTCTCCGTACTACAAGTCACGCTGCTTCTATTGACGGAAGTGAGCGAGAGAGAAGTCTCCGGAGAGAAGTTAGTGCTCGGACGTAGCGCTCCTCAGATTACTACGCCTCACAATATAGTACCCGTTTTATCCGCTGAGAAAATCGACAGTTACATTTCTGTGTTACTATACTTTGCAGTGTAACACGTCACGTAACTATATACATTTAATAGGGAACACTTGGAAGAGTTTGGTAGCTTCTAGCGGAAGCTACCTTTTGGGTACTATACAGTATACAGAGGAGGCTGCGTTTGTGCTCCCGTTTTTGCTCCGTTTGCATGACAGAGCGCACGAACTAAGACCAGACATGTACATATTAACTAGTCTAAGGTAAGGTGAGAACATATGTCAGTATGTAAAAACGGTGAACTATTCCTTTAAAGTGCTTATATACAGTGCTATTCGCCCATTGAGTCTTATAAAAGTACTTGTCGTATCCATGCTTCAGTATGTGCCGCTCTGTCTTATTGCCACCCAGCGAGGGGCGCATGCGCACGCGGGTGTAAACAAAGATCCTCCAATACATAGTTCCCACAGACCAATGAATGTCACATGACCTCCTCGGAGACGCCATCTTTGATGGCACGCTGCTGTGTTTGTGCATTCCATTAAACAGAAGAATGAGAATAAATGTAGATATTCAAACGCAAATTGGAAAAAAAGGGCAACTTTTGAGCAAATAATTGTATATTAATACAATGGCACCACAGTTTAACGTGCTACGAACATGTTTTACATATTTGATCAAATTATGCAGCAAAAATTAACAAGCAATGCAAACATTTCTCAAAAACTTTAGATTTAATACCAGTTGGAGCTCCATTTAATTATTTTAATTATATTAACAATTAATTTAATTAATGCTAATGCCACACGGACACTCTGGATTGCTGTTATTGTTTATTTCCGCGTTTTTGACCGTATGTTTTGGTGAATGGTGGGCAACTGATTTTTCCAGGCGTAAAGAGCAGTTTATTTTATGACACAGATCTTTTTACAGAAGCAATGCTGTTTGTGAACATTGTTTTAGCCCACCATAGAACTATTATTATCTATTTAATACATTTACGTTGCCCTCAAGAGCCTCGGACGCGACACCGATCCTCCTCATAATAAAGTAATCTAACGCTAAATAATGAAACTCTCAAGTTACCAGATATCAGCATACACAAGTTAGTACTGAGTAAATTACGTCTGTCAACACATTATAAGATACGATACGCACCTGACACAAAGTGCTCCGAGCATATTCTTGCGTGTTTTGAGGGAGTTTCTTGCCTGTTTATCTTCGCAAGCCATAACCTCCGTGGTTGTTCTGACAAAAGCTTAGTCTTCTCACATTCATGAAGTCTAATGATGGGTATACTGTAAAATCCAAGTTTAACTGAACCTCCGGCACGATTAGAACATCCATTGCCCCAGCAGGAGACGACCATTTTCAACTTTATCACACGTTTCAGCTTCTTTTTCTATTTTTTGGCCCACAGAATGCCAAGACAAATGGCGCCGGGTCGGCAAATCCCCGTATGTAGTGACGTCATGTGGGAACTATGTATAAGGATGTGAATGGCTCCATAAGTTTGTTTAACCCAGGTGTTAAAATAAGGTAAAACAGAATTCATAATTTACATGTAAACCACAAAGTAATGGCTTACTTATTTAAGTACAAAATGAAAGTGTACTTTGTTTATTTATTTATTATTTATTTGTATATGTGCCAACACAATGTACTGTAATGCAGCATATACGTCGTGTAGCAACAGCCAAAGCGTTACGTTCAGATCCACGGTGCACGCGACCCCGCTCCTCCTCTCTCTGACCGGAGTCAAGCAGCGAGACATACGCAGAGCGCAGCTCCAACATTTCAACAATTCTAAAGCGCAAATCAGAGGAAATACTAAGCCAAAAGAAGAGTCCTGTTGCTGGCCTGGAGTTAAAGTTGACTGATTGGTAAGAGTTACTTTGTAGTAACCACCGCAACTTAACCTCGGCCGCTACACTAACGGACTTCCCCACTGTTTCAGAGCAGAGAGAAGAGAGAGAAAGAGTCAAGCTGAGCGCAGATTCTCACACCCCTCCGCAAAGGAACAAAGATAGTTGGTGAGGAATTGATTGATGATGTGTTGGCTGTTTTTTACAACTATCTCCTAACCGGTCCATATTAATGACAGGCAGTTATCTGCGCGAGCGCTCACACCCAGAGCCGTGACGTCACTTTGTCCCGGAGTAGACGTAAATCGGTGAGAAACGTCGGCTGTGAGTAAAAGGCTATTGTTTATTGTTTATTGTATAAAGGATTGAAATAATTCTATCAAGAAAATTATTTGCCTGTCTTTTAATGCAGGTCAGGTCTTTTTTAATGAGGTTTGGGAACATCTTTGGAGAAGACCACTAGATGGTGAGCCACCCCAACTGAGCAAAAATTGGAGGATCTCATCACAAACCGACAACTTTGAACGAAACTTGAGTGCACTCACTAGACTTGAAAGGGTTTTATTTTTGGGTTATTTTAAAGGCGCCATTTTATTTTTGTATTTTAATTTGATATTGTATTTGTGGTTATACTTCTTGAAATCTTTTAACTAAATCAATTTACATTTTCTAAATTATTGTCTGTCTATCATTGTGGCTACAGGTCCAAAACTTAATATTTGAGCTCTTTATGAACCTAGTATGTAAATTCCAAAGTGGGTTACATTTGCAATATGTTAATTGTTTGCCCCATAGGCCAATAGTATTGTGGCTAAATCAGTGGGGACGGGTCCTGGCTCAAAATTATGTGCGCTGACATGCTTGCAATACCACCCCGGGTTAGGGTTAGGGTTAATTTTTGAAGTCTCTCGTTCAAATGAATGGAGCTTGCGCCGGCTAACGCATGGGCAGATGCGTTTTTTCACAATTTTCTTGTGGGCGGGACCACTTGCGGCCATTTTGGATAGCTCCTGTAGAGCACTATTTTTGGCCCATTCGTTAGAACGGCAGAGATAGGCGTGACTACGTCCATTAATTTTTACAGTCTATGAACTAAATACACAAGCTGTTTGTAATCTATGATGTTTGGCATGATATATTGCGCATTGACCAAGAAGGCGTGGCATGCATGTGGCCATGTCAAGAGAAGTCATGCAGGCCTTGATTGTAGTTACAATATTGTCAAGATCCAGTCTTCTCGCTCCTCCCACGTTGTCTACCGAACACTCAACTCACTCCTGGTGGAACAGCTCCAACAACATCCTTATTTTTGTGGCTGGTATAGTGTACAGAAACATCTGTGAAGAGTATGGACTGGAAACCTCAAGGTCTAAATGGGAAACTCCAAAGGTGGTGGAGAATGAGTGTGCAAAGATCCTGTGGGACTTCCAGATACAGACCGACCGAATGGTAATGGAGAACCAACCTGACATTGTGGTGGTGGACAAAGGGCAGAAGAAAGTCATGGTGGTGGACGTGGCAATTCCAAGCGACGGTAACATCAGGAAAAAAGCTTGAGAAATACCAAGGGCTCAGAGAGGAGCAGGAGAGGGCCTGGAGGGTAAAGGTGACAGTAGTGCCCGTGGTGATCGGTGCACTCGCAGTGACCCCGAAGCCGGAGGAGTAGTTACAGCAGATCCCGGGAACAACCTCGGAAATCTCGGTCCAGAAATGTGCAGTGCTAGGAACAGCATAGATTCTATGCAGAACTCTCAAGCTCCCAGGCCTCTGGTAAAGGACCCGAGCTTAGAGAGGGATAACCGCCCGAGGGGGGCGAAAGGTGTGTGTTTGTGTGTGCGTTTTTTTATGTGTACTTTACAGCTCTTTCCAGTGAATATCTTTGAAAATTTTTAAATGGCTCCATGTGGATAAGTGCATTGATAACGCCCTCTCAGCCCGCCTTTTAACCCGGGTCTAGAAAACATACTATGGTCGACTCGGCATTTGAACACAGGTCCAAAAACACGAGTCTGCAATGTGAAAACCCGGTTTAATTGTAATGCAGGCCCTACAATACATCACATCACATCACACAGACTCAATAAAGTTTATATTTATCTTTATCTTTACACTCACCGGCCACTTTATTAGGTACACCTATCCAACTCCACTTTAACGCAAATTTCTAATCCACCAATCACATGGCAGCAAATCAATGCCTTTAGGCATGTAGACATGGTCAGACGATCTGCTGCAGTTCAAACAATCAGAATGGGTACAAAAGGTGATTTAAGTGACTTTGAATGTGGCATGGTTGTTGGTGCCAGACAGATATTTCAGAAACTTCTGATCTACTTAGATTTTCACACACAACCGTATCTACGGTTTACAGATAATGGTCCAACAGGAGAAAATATCCAGTGAGGGGCAGATCGGTGGGCGAAAATGCCTTATTGATGCCAAAGGTCAAAGGAGAATGGCCAGACTGGTTTGAGCTGATAGAAAGGCAACAGTAACTCAAATAACGATACAACCAAGGTATGCAAGAGAGCCTCTCTGAACACAGAACACGTCCAACCTTGAGGCAGATGGGCTACAGCAGCAGAAGACCACACCGGGTGCCACTCCTGTCAGCTAAAAACAGGAAACTGAGGTAATTCGCACAGGCTCACCGAAATTGGACAATAGAAGATTGGAAAAAGTTGCCTGGTCTGGAGTCAACAACATGAAAGCATGGATCCATCCTGCCTTATTTCAACAATTCAGATGGTTGGTGGGGGTGTAATGGTGTGGGGGATATGTTCTTTGCACTCTTTGAGTCCCTTAGTCCCAATTGAGCATCGTTGCAACGCCACAGCCCACCTGAGTATTGTTGCTGACCATGCCCATCCCTTTATAACCACAGTGAACCCCTCTTCTGATGGCTACTTCCAGCAGGATAAAACATCTTGTCATTAAAATTATCACAGACTAGTTTCTTGAATATGATAATAAGTTCACTTGGCCTCCATAGTCACCAGATCTAGATGTGTCCCTTGCCATTAGGCAAGGCAGGCAGCTGCATGGAGCCCCCAAACCGGCAGGGGGCCCCTGAGGGCCGACTGATTTGACACAAGCGGTCGACTTGTACAGGCTACGGCTACAACAGCTACCTGCAGTGACGAGTTGGCGGATAAAAAATTCTCGTCCAATGCAAAACTTGCCACGTTCTTCATTAACAGTTAAAATCCCTGCCTGGAGGAAAAGAAGTGCAGTATGTCATAGTGGTCTAGTGGTTAAGTTGCAGCGCTTGTGCCACGACGACCCGGGTTTGAATCTAAGTGAGACCTGTATTTTGGATTAAATAATATATATTATATTCTATGACAGATTGCTCAAGAACAGTAAAAGGTAAAAACAAGCCGTTTTTAGCAGATTAAAGCTAAGAGCCTAGATTGGGCTCTTAGCCAAATGAAAAGATTGCATTTTGTAGGATTACAAAATCTGGTTATGGGGTCGGTATCTGGGCCCCCAAGGACTCTGTTGCCTGGGGCCCCGGGGTACCCTTGGAACGCAACTGACCAGATCTCACTCCAATAGAGCTTTGGGATGTGGTGTAACAAATCTGCAGAAACTGCATGTTGCTATCAATTATGGACCAAACTCTATGAGGAATGTGTCCAGTACCTTGTTGAATCTATGCCACTAAGGATTAAGACAATTTTGAAGCCCAACCCACTACTAGCAAGGTGTACCTAATAAAGTGGCCGGTGAGTGTACATACCTTTGGTCCTCTGGGGCCAGTGAGACCTGGAGATCCCTGTAATAATATCAGGTAAAATATAAATATAATACTAATAACAATAATGATAGATTTTTTATTTGAATAACAGCATTTTCAACTAACCTGGGATCCTCCAAATCCAGCACTAATCAATAGATCCCCCTTTCCTGATCCCTCCATGTCCTGAAATAAATGAATTGATAATATTACAAAATAATACTGAAAGCATATTGCATTCAATTTCACTGACTGGGAGTTACCTCCACAAAGAACTTAGACCTTGGTAATCCCGGGGGACCTGGTGGGCCTGGTGGACCCCTTTGGCCTGGGGGCCCTATAGGACCTTCAAGTCCTGGGGCACCAGTGGTGCCTACTGAACCACATTCACCCTACAAAGCAAAATATAAACGGCTTTGTTATGAATAAAAAGTCATAACATTATTATGTCAAAAAGGTGAATCAAGTCTTGGGTCAAGTATTTCTTGGGATTGTGGGGATTTTAAAATGAAAACACTTTTATTTTTTCTAACAAAAGTTTGTAAATTACAAAAATACTTACCTTTGGTCCAGGTAAGCCAGCCAATCCTTGATCACCCTAAGAAACAGATGTAAGGGTCACACAAAGCAGCCGTTTTAAATCTACTGTATGCTTCACAAATAAGGGAGAATGTATTTTTGTGCTAGAACCCAGAAGTCTGGGCTGAGCTGAGAGCTAAATGCAGGCCCTGGAATTCTCAAAAAGGTCATATGCCATCTGCCAACGTCAAAGTTGAGCAAGAAAAACACATCTATCTGTCGGTTCTGTGCTACTTTATGACAAGTGCTGGAGTTGAGCGCAAGTCGAGCTGGTTATCACAAAAGGACATTAGTTTTAATAACGCTTCAAACTCCTCCCTGGTACTTGCAAAGATTAAATATAAGGAGCTTCTTCAAGAAAAACACATGCATGCATGAGACAGATCGCCTGCGTTGTCCAAGCCCGATGCCTGTAACCATCTATTCAACATAAAGACTTCCTGCTACTATAAGTATCCAGTCTGGTATTCCATGAGAAGTTTGGATTAGGGTCTTGACCATGACTTTTTTGTGAATCTGTGTAATTGGATGTTTTATGTTGTTGGATGTGTGGCGAAATTACTTTCTGTCCATTTTGTCCTGGAACACCTGGAGTGCCATCTCTTCCTGCTGGTCCCTGGAAAAACAAGGCAAATCAAAAACACATACAAGCCACATCAGATCAAGAGCTGTGTATAGGACCAAGCGTTAGTAAGAGCATATTCAAAATGTAAAGTTTCAAAGGTCACTGTATTATTCTTTTGATATCTGATCCTTGAATCTTTGCATTTGATTCAGCAGCAACCTTCATACGTTTTTTTTTCTTCTAAAAAGGCAGATGTTTCTTGGCCATGTTGGATTTTAAAGCTTAAAAACAGCTCCAGGTGTTATACACAGGATGAATATTCAGTCCATTCTCATCTAATACAAATAAACTCATTTCAAATAACTTTGACCAAACATGAACTGAATTGAAGCACAGACCGAATAAGTTAGCACAGTGACAGAAGCAAGTGGCAGCAGGTGAAACAACATGGCCACAGATATACAACCCAAAGCTGAGCATTAAGGCACATTTTCTTTGTCTTTACAAGAATAATGATACTGCCTTAATGCTAGTTTTGACTGTAAACTGCCTTTTGTGTTTGCCGAATCAGCAAACCAGGACATTATACCTCGCCTGAACCTGAAGTGGACCCAAACTCAATGTCAGAACTCAAGGCAAAAGAGGATTCAGAGCTGTACCCAGAACTGAACCCAGATCCCAGGTCTGAGTCAAGTCCAGGGGACATGCCTGAGCTCAGGCCTGACCCTCCGGAGTCAGAACCACTAAACCAATCCTCCACAATCTGTAATAGAGCGAGAGAGTGAAGACACACTGATAACAACTGACTGCCTGAGAAAAATACATAAATAAACGTATTTTTGTTGAATAAAAGTTATGTCTTGAGACACTTACAGGTATTCCAGGTCTTCCTTGCAAACCATCTTTCCCAGGGGCCCCTGGGGGCCCACTATGGGAGAGTCCCTCTGCATTAGGTGGACCTGGTGGGCCAGGAGGACCAGGTAGACCAGGAGGTCCCTAAAGAAAACACATTAAAAGTCATTGTACATTTCATCATTTATCTAATTTATCTGCTGGTGAGTCCCAATCAGCACTGGCACACCACAGGAGTGTGAATTGAGGCCCCTGCTCTACTCCCATTATATTAGGGGTGTCCAAATGTTTTAGTAAGAGGGTCACCTTAATCCTGTCCAGGGGCCAACAACATTTGTGTGAAGCGATATGGACACCACAGCTACATTGGCTCCATCCATAACATTTTTTGACATAATAAACAACCAGTTGGCTGGATGCTGGAGAGTATGCAATAATAAATACTACTACTACTAGTACTAATAATAATGTATTAGTTTTATAAAGCGCTATTTTGGACACTCAAAGGCGCTTCATGTGTTATTATTCATTCACTTTGTACACTAGGGTGATAAACTACTACTGTAGCCACAGTTGCCCTGGGGCACACTGGCAGAAGCGAGGCAACTAAAATTTGCCATCGGCCGCTCTGACCCCCACCAACCATTCACACACACACACCAGACTTATTCTAGGTAATGTGGGTGAAGGACACAACGACAGTTCGGCACTTTACAGCCGCCCTGCTGTAGCACTTGGTGTTCCCAGAGGTCTCCCATCACAGTACAATAGCTACCTTATGTTAACAAGGCAGAGGGCCACAAAAATGTGGACCACAAAACATCCCATGAAACATCTGAGTCCATTACTATGGTAAGTTTGCATCCATCCATCCATCCATCCATTTTCTACCCTTTAATCCATTTCTGGGTCAGGGGGGTGGCAATCAGAGATGTCACCCAAGTCTCATAGCACCAGCCCCTCACTGACCCTCTGCAGGTGGTGAGTCCACAGGAGGACGGCTGCTCTAAGTGTGAGCATAGCCTTGATCTTTCAGTGGGGGCTTTGGGCAAAGTGGGGTTAAGTGTCTTGCCCAAGGACACAACGACAGCAGTCATCAGTGGGAGTCGGTGGAGAAGGTGCAGAGGTGGGAATTGAACCCACGACCTTCTGGCCTTAAGACCAATGCTCTACCAACTGAGCTACTGTCGCCCCTGGTAATTTTGCAGAAGGTCTAATTTCTAGTGCTGACTGAACCCTACACACCACCTTTGTAGTAAAAAAAGGACCTCAGTGCTAGTACCATCTGAGGAGATTGTGGGAATGAGTTGGAGTCTTTAGTGGGTTATTTCTCGGTGAATAATGGTTCTCTACTGATATAAAGCTAAGTTTCGCCTATTTTGTAAATTTCAACCTCTTACTGATTCAAAGCAGGAAGAGAGTGCTATTTTATAAACATCCTCTGCATTTAGTGCATTTAATGTTCCTCTTGGGTGATCATGTGTCCGCATTAGTGACCCCTGATATAAAGTTTCAATAAGTGTTAAATTATTAAAGATTTTATCTTCTGTAAATAACAATAGAAAGGTAGAAGTGGACGCAGGAGCAAAATCGTTCACATAGTAATGGACCTAAGATTGAACCTGTTCTAATGAAAGTAGAACAAAAGCCCTTACCCTAATGACCTCAGAGTCCATATCCAGGTCTCCAAACCCAGAGCCCAACGCATCGTTCCCATACTGCAAAGAATAACTCTTCAGAATAAATGCAATTATTTTCAAACCGTTTTTTTGTCTACATTTTTACCAGTACACTGCGGGATCTGGGTGGACCTGGAGGCCCTGGAAGGCCAGGTGGTCCTGGCAAACCCTCTCCTGGATCTCCCTGTAGTAATTAGGAGAGTAAAAACATACAAGGTCCTCCCACAATTTAATATTGTAGTTTTAAACAAGGACTCACCTTTTCTCCTTTCCCGCCTGTCTCTCCAGGTAAACCTGATGTCCCCTGAGTCCCTCTCTGACCCTGAAGTAAAAGGCAACACATACAAAAACTGATGATGCAAGTGGCATTGACTGGCTGCGCCTCCTTGGACTCCGAAACAGTAAACAAAAACAAAACTTACCGGATCCCCCTTCTCTCCTTTGGTTCCCTACAACATGGATAATGGCAGGAAAGACCTTAATACATGATCATAAATCAGATCATCAATACTTTGCATACAGCACCTTCTCGCCATCTCTCCCAGGAAACCCTGGTAGTCCTGGGGAACCTGTTGGCCCCTGAGGGCCCCGGGGTCCTGATTGGCCTTTAACTAATGCAGAGATGGTCCCAGGGGGACCAGGAGGACCGGCTGGGCCTTGTGGACCTGCCTCACCTTTCTCCCCCTTCAGTCTGTGGCCTCTGTCTTCGACCTCTGTATTTATATGAGACTCTGTGAAGTGAACTATATATCAAAGACATGACATCACAGGGAGACACTCACAGTCACAGGGTCACACACTCGCAGTCACAAGGTCACACACTCGCAGTCACAGGGTCACACACTCGCAGTCACAGGGTCACACACTCGCAGTCACAGGGTCACACACTCGCAGTCACAGGGTCACACACTCGCAGTCACAGGGTCACACACTCGCCGTCACAGGGTCACACCCTCATAGTTACAGAGTCACACACTCACAGTCACAGGATCACACCCTCACAGTGAGAGGGTCACAAACTCACAGTCACAGGGTCACACCCTCACAGTGAGAGGGTCACACACTCACAGTCACAGGGTCACACCCTCACAGTCACAGGGTCACACACTCACAGTCACAAGGTCGCACCTTCACAGTCACAGGGTCAAACACTCACCTCTCAGACGTTCAGTGCTCTCAGTAGAGGTCAGCTGACCAGAGTATCCATCGAGCTCAGCCTCTGGAGCTTCAGTCGGTGGAGCGCTCACAGGAACACTGTCTTCCTGTTGGAGAGAGGACAACATGAACTAGAACTTGTAGAACAGTGAAAAAAGTTTACAAATGCTGTGTAGAATGATTTTACAATGAATGTTTTTTTTTCTCACTCTCATTTTGGAGATAGTAATAATTATCTCTGTCAATGCACTATTTGGCATTGAGTCCAAATTAAGTTAATTTACATGTCGTTTTACATGTTGGAACATAAATGGGCCTCAGTCAATGTCAAATTTAATAAAATTTCAGTCACATGCTTTGCTCATAAACATGAACTTTGATTCTCATTATCTGGGAACATTTATTTTGCTTATTGAGGGAATTGCTTTTGAAGCTTCAAGGACTCAAATGATTATGAGATGTAGGGTCAGGCTGTCTTGTTCCTCAGTGAAGGAGGAGTGAGGATGAAAGGCCTAAAACCAGAAGATGGGAATGTTTGGGTCCACTCTACAAGGGGTTGAGTATTGAACAGACATACCAGCATTTATTGTGATTGTAGTAAGGGTGAGATGTGTTATGAACACAACCAGTATGCTCACCACATCTATACTGTAAAATAGATTTAAAAAAGCAATTCAGGGAAACATTCTACCTGTGCACCGCTTGGCTTCCTTCTCTGTGAGTTCTTAATAACTTCCTCTCTCTCCCCGTCGTCCAATCCATCATCTCCACTTGAGAATCCAGAAGCCTTCACATAATCATTATCAAACATTAATGTATTATATCAAATGTGTCCCTCAAAAACAAACAACATACATTATACAGTGCATGTAAAATAAATAAATACATATACTACTATTAAACAATAATTGTACATTTTATCTATATTGCACCTTATATTTCCAGGAAACCTCAAACTGCTACAGATTAAAATACAATACCACAAACAAACAAAACAAAGCAAAAGCAACAGAAAAAGATGAAGGGGTCAAGAGGGGTCATACAATCCCTGATAGTCCTGATTAGAAATTAAGATTTAGGCCTCTTTTAATAGCCTGGCCTTAGCCATCTGTACACTCCGTTCAATCATCATTTCACTGCATGTAACGTCTGGGTCTGGTCCCTGGGTTAGCGATCACAATCGGTTGAATTTTGACCGACCATTCAGAGAGGCAGGTGTTGTAGTTAGTTGTGGGTGATGTCAAGAGTTTGCGTCGAACGGGAAGGTTGGGGTTTGGCAATGGCGAAAAATGCGATAGTAAAGTAATCCGGTCTGGTTCTATCAAGACATTGAAGCCGGAGCAAGATGAATGTTTTTCTCAAATGTAATCGCTGGAAAAATTGTGGCACTACTCCCTACGAACTCCGTTAGCAGCAAAGGAGATGACTCGGGCGCATTGCAGATGTCACGGTAAACTCAGATCCAATCGTTTCAATCTGCAAAAGGAGTTAATCCCTCCCACCTGTTAACGGAGCTCAAAGGAGCACCTCCAGACCTTAGTACTAAATGTAATTTGTACTATGGTGTGGTACGACCAGGCTACTCTTTTAAAGGCCTCGTCACTTTGTGGTGCCCTAAGAGTCTCTGGGAGGGCGTTATAGAGGCGTGGAGAGCTTAAACCTGGGCTGGTGGAGACAGTGGATGAAGGTCAAGCGTGGCCCCGGGTGGTATTGCAAGCGTGGCCCCGGGTGGTATTGCAAGCATGTCAGCGCACATCATTTTGGACATTTTTGAGCCGGGACCCATCCTCACTGGTGGGGAGGCAGAGTTTATATTCAATTCTGTGGTGGATAGGGAGCCAGTGAAGGGAGCAGAGGACAGGGGAGATGTGGTCATATTTGCGCCTCCTCGTCAGGACCCGAGCCGCACAGATCGGGATGTGCTGGAGCTTTTTCAGGCTCTTGGCTTGGATCCCGACGAGGAGAGCATTACAGTAGTCCAGTCAGGAGGAGATAAAGGCATGGACCAGTTTTTCTGCATCAGGCAAACATAGAGGCACATACAGAATGTATGGCATTTTTCAGAGAAAATGGGAAGATTTTGTTCCACTCATAGTTAGCTTGAATAGATGTTTCCAGTGCATTGAACCCACTAGGGTGCCCATCTCCAGATGTTAATACTCAGCATAGATATACTGACACACTGTATATACTGTAGATGGACAATGTTGACCCCCGAGCTTAATGAGTCCGAGTAGGGATAATAGGTGAAGTCTTGATTCCAGTCGTTCCTCCAGCTCTGTAACCTTAGACCTTAGAGCTTAAAATCTCTTGTTTATTGCTCTATATGGTCCAAGTGTCTATTCACAGACTATTCCTGTGGCTTCTATTCCCAAATTTGGCTTTAGCTGGCAAGTGGGAACTTATCAGTGCCCTTCCTAATTGGCTCTTGGTTGTTCAAACTAGCTCTGACCGGCTACTTCTGCACCAGCACCCTGTTCCCTGTTAATTCACCTCGGTTAATTCATTCCTTCTACAGTCTATGACCCAGACGCAGCGAGAAAAATGAGTGAATGTTTGGATGTGAAATACATACATAAGGCTCATCATCTTCGCACTGCTCCTCCGCAGCTCTGGGGTCATCCCTTATCACGAGCTGCTGAATGGAACCCTGGAGAAATAGAGTATTTGTAGCTTTGTTTTTAAAGACTTTTTTCCACAAATTGTAATAAATGTTCCTGCTATTCTGATATTCTCACACACATCGTATACTGCATGACAGTGTGGGCCAAAGCAGCTCCAAAAAATACTTTACTGAACTATCAAGCAATATACATTATGGACAAAAAACAATCCTCTACTTACCACAAACCTATCAAGGCCAGTGCTTCCTGCATTTCCCACAAAAATGCCTGAATTGTGTGAAAACATGAGTCTCTCAGGTTTGCGTTGGAAAGTGGTCCTCTCTGCTTCACCACAGTCCATGAAGAGACGCACTTCTTCATGCTCCACAACCAACTACAGATAATAAAATTAGGTTTATGTTTAATGTACTGTTATGCTATTTTAGATTTTAGTTTCCTCACTGTGAATCTCGTCCACTGGTCCGTCATGTCTGTTACAGTGAAGGCAGCCGCTTTGTGGCTGTGAGTGGCCTCTTCTCTGTCTGTGTAGTACAGCAGGATGCTCTGAAGACCCCCACGCACCGGAGTGAGGGCCAGCCCCAGCTCCACCACCTTCTGATGGGCATCTGTGATGGCAAACAGCACCCCTCCTCGCGGGGTTGAAGGTCGAATCTGAATTAAACCATTTTATATGATGTGTCAAACAACGATTAGCTGACAAAGGCTATAACAAAAAAAACAAATTGTCAAATGTTACAATTAGGTGTGCTATACAAGAGATGTTTTTTTAAACAGCTTCTTCAAGAAACCTGTTTTACTCTCAAGAGCAAGTGTATGTATTCCCTTTATTTCGAGTCAATCAGCAGTGTTGGGGAAGTTACTTTTAAAAAGTAACTTATTTCTTGACTGATGGGCAATCAGTCAAGCTGCCCACGGTAAATAAAAAGTAATGTAGCAGCGTTTTTAAAATTAACTAAATTGACGATAGTTCTTTCTCCATGCAGAGATCTTTCCCACTTATGATTAGAGTAATGAGTAATCATAGATCAAAGCTGCAGGGCTTGAGCTTGTACTCCAGTTTTTTATAGAAAAAGTAGGAAAGAAGTGTAAGGGGTTAACCACAAGATGGCAGCATGGTGCAATGACCGACAGTATTCTGGTTTCAATGTATGCAATGTATGTTTACTGAATAAATAATTAAGCACATATTACAGACCATGGTCACACAAAGCACATCACTGTTCATTTTTTAACTATTTACATGTACATGTGTTTAGTACATGTACATGTACTAAACACATGGAGAAGCAAGTTCTCCATGTCATGATTTGACAGTTTGGTTGCGTGTGTTTTTGCCAGTTGAAACCAATCGATATTTGCACAAATTAAAAATAGTCATATAATAAAACATTTACGAACCTAGCTTGCTCGGTCTGTACAGAGAAATATCAGACCTTGGTCTTTTTGCACAAAAAGGCCGCGGTCTGATATTTCTCTGTACAGACCTCGCGCTCGTTTAATAAGCCGTTAATATCATTCTATAAGTATGTCTACAAATCAAGCACCAAACAATCGTGCAAATATAACTCAATAAACATACTTCAAATGTCAAAGGTGTGTATGAGTATTTGTTAAACTATTAGGACTTTAATAATCTATATAGATGCAAGAAACCTCTGTTATTGTGTAACTGTTTTGCTGGTGATGTGCATTGTGATATTTTCTCAAAGAAAACGTGCTGTGGTAGCCTGGGAACAAAACACTGCACAACAGCATTTAAACTCTGTCCGAATTGTTTGCATGGATTCATCTTTCTGTTCCTTTCTGGCGAGATGTGGTTGGCTGCGGAGGAAGAGGAGGAAGTGCTCCAAAACCTCCCTCAATGTTTAATGCGACCCCCCCAAAATGTGAAGAAATGAACCGTGTGCAGTTGAAATATTTCACAATCTTTTCCAATGTGTATTCTCTTCTATTTGTTCATCACTAATGCAAAATAAATAAAACAAAATTACCGTAACAATGATTGCAAAGTCCCTGTAAAATGGACCAGGGATGAAAGTCTTTGTAAGACGGCCAATGTTTGCTTCAGGCTCAAAGTTGTACGCTGGAAAACCCTCAAAACCAGTAGCGAAGGAGACAGCTGGAGGCAGAGGGACTCCTATCAACTCAGTCAGGTCCAAGTGTCCTCCGGAGCCTCTTTCTGACAGGGACAGAAAATAACATTCATGAAGTACTGTACCAGAGCTGTATTATACAAATTACAAATATGAGGCTAGAGTGGAATTATATGGAAACTAGAGCTGTAAATTAATTAATTATTTGCTACAAATCAATTATTGAATTTTTTTTCAAAAAATGTAGTGATTGATTAACTGTTTTTGAACCATACATAGATAATAGATAGTAGATGAGAATATGTTTATAAATTATTTTTAATCAAATAACCCAATGTGTAATACGTCATCCCCTTTGAAGATTTTCTCCAGGGGCATCCCTGGAGCTTTGTTCTGGCAAAATTTAGTTAAAAAATCCATTATTCACTGACCTTTTGGGATCTAAACAACTAATTGAGTAATCTAAAAACTGATAAGCCAACTAATCAATTATCATGCTTGTGAATCCGTTTATCATGATTGTAATTGAATAGATTGAGATGGCCACACTTCACTGCACTGGTCCACATGACACCTGACACAAAGAAGTATAATGTGTGTGACTGCAGGCTTTAGTGCCCTGAATACATGCCCTTGGCATACCCCATTTCTTAAAAAGACCTTGGCACTTTGTACAGCAATGTGTGGGCCATGTGCAAAATTAAAGTTAAAAAAGAAAATAAAAAACTTTGTAGCTGTGATGACCAGAAGATCAGATATAGCATTTATTTTGACCAAACCTATATACAAAGAAACACATCGTGTGTATGTTGCAAAAATGGTTTCAATGCTTCCTCTGGTTTGGCTCCAGTCTGTAATTAGCAGTGATCAGCTGTGTGAATAAAACAGTCAAAGGAAGTTTTTCCTGATCATTATAGTCCACTACAAAATTGGAAAGACTATGCATTTTAAATGAAGAACAAAGCAAGTACTGCAAATAAAATGTTTACATTCTGGCATCTAATAACTTCTCACAGATTTTTGATTCCAAGATCAATGAAACCTTTCGCCTTGCCATATTGTATTGTTTAATCTATTCCCTCTAAATATCTCTTTCCCAAAAGGGTTTAGTGGAGAAGACATCTGGCAACATCTGCACTGCATGCCACACCACCAGAAACAGAAATAGTCCATGCTACACTTCCCTGCAGCGATATGCCCAGACATCAACGAGTTACACTTGAGATACTGAAGAGCAGACAGATAATCGAAGACAACAACAGACATGTTTAGATCTTCCGCTATTAAGGATATGGGATTAGGACAGTGACAATAACACATCTTATACAGTGTATATATATATATATATATATATATTATTTTTTTTTTTTTTTTTTGAAACCATATCTCAGTAAACACCAATAACATTGTCAAATTACTTTGTGTCTACATATTTGGCAACCATTAAGCATACTATTTAATATCTAACCCTCACAAAAATACAAAAAGAACATACGGCTGGAAAGAATAATGCTTATATCATTTGTAAACCGTTGTTATTGTTTTACCACACTTGCTTATTGTTTTACCACACTTGCTTATCTTAGCAGCATTGGGAGAAAGCATACAAGCAGCAGGAAACTGGGCAAATAATATTATAATGAATAAGTCACCAAAAAGTAAATATATAAATTAAGCAACAACAATAAAAACTATAAACAATAATTTCATAATTTCATATTTCAAGCAAGAAAAAAGCTGAAAAAAGATAAATGGAAATCAGCACCTTCAAATCTGAGGCATGGTTCTTGACCAAAAAATGTGCCTTGTCCACCAGGAGTGTGGAGAGGGTCTTCCTCAAATGGGGGAGTTCTAGTTTCTCAGGTGCTGCTCAGGGGATCCTTTCCTCACTGTGAGGATGTCATTCTGCGTTTCCACCCTCACCTATGGTCATGAGCTTTGGATAATGACCGAAAGGACAATAATATAAGCGGTCATAATCCTGTCCTTCGCAGGGTGCCTGGCCTCAACCACATGGGACAAGGTAGCATGGACACTTCCCTGCTGAGGTGTTCCATTTTTACAAGTACCGTTACCATCTGGCAAAATATTCCATGTCACAATCATCACAAACAAATCAATTTATTGTATGTATGTAAAATATACCTCCATCTAACATAAGAGAGCCTAAATTCCAGTCAAAAGTGTGTTTTTCTTTAGTGGTAAGAAACATCAGTTAGAAGCAGACCAATAATACCACACCATGTCTATAACTCACCACTTTTCCAGTACTTTAGTAGCTTGTAAGTGTTTTTAGATTTGCTGCTTCCGTTGCCCTCTGTAATTGAGTGCCAGGACTGGGTAGTGCTTTGTACGGCCTTTGACACTGTAAGGACTGCAGGTGTGAGTGAACCAGTCCACATCGCTCCATCAGTCACCAACTCCTCTCCACCCCCGGCAGTCTCTTTTGGGACTTCCAAGGTGATATTGGATGAAGAGATTATTGAAGGAAAAGCAGATGGAGGCGACGTGGTAGACTTGGCTTTAGAGTTGGCCCAAATAAAGGTCCACCACTGGCTTTGTACCGGCAAGCAGAGTGTAGAGAAGACCGCAAGTAGGAAGCTGAGAGATGTCATCTTCTAGTAAAAATAGTCCTTAATTTATCTCAAATAAAAAAAAAACAGCATAAGAAGCTTGACGCTGTGTTGACAAAAGGTACACTCCGAAAGTTACAAAAAATATAATCCATACAATACGTTGACTGGATTTGTCAAGTCTTTCTATGTTCCCTTTTGCTTTATTGTCCAATTCCCTATTTGGCGTTGGTAGTTGCTTGCCATCTCATTCCCTCCTCTATGTATAATTACCGACTCCCTCTCTGGCCACAGCACACTTGATTTTCTCTCCCTCTTTAGCCGCAGACGGCAGATTAGAGAGGCCATTCACCACTCCTTCCTTGTCTTCCTCTTCTCACACCTCCTACCATGTACCATGAGACCAGCCCACTTCTATGGATGTGCAAATGTAAATAAAATAGAAAAATTCTCACCACAAAATACAAAATATATAGAAACTTTATAACCAAATAGTTAGAAGATTGTGCGCGTCTCTATGCTGTTGCTTAATCCTTGAGAAGTGAATTGATCCTGATAAGTAATTAAATGGCATGTTCAGAGTCTATAATTGTCAATTCATGGACTGAATGAGCAGCCCTGTCGTTGTTTTATAAAGTGATTTATAAAGGGGTGGATGTTCTTTTGGAGTTGATGGGGAGACTAGGAGAGAGGCCCCATATGACAAAGATTGTATTGTGCCTGACTAAATGATTGGAGAGGGCCAGGATAAGGGCTGCTAAAGATGGGTCAATGGTGGGAGTTTTATTTACACTGGCATGGAGGCCTATTACACAAAGAAGAATAGACCATGAACCAGACTGATTAATGGAACAGGTGTTTTGGTAAGTATTGTAACTGTAACGTTAAGCAGTTATAGTCTACAGCAGCCATTCCCAAACTCAGTAACACCGAGGCCCCCTTAAAAATCTGACGGGTCTGCGTGGCCCCCAAAATAATAACCAAGAAGACAACATTAAGAATAGGCTCTTCTGGTTATTTTATTTTGGGGAAATAGCCTCTGCTACAAACATTGTAATACAAAAATGATTACAGTGGATTATTCAAGTCAAATAATGAACACAAATATTTTAATATTACAAACAAAACATTATAAATTTAACATTAAATAATTATATTATTTTTTAAAAAAATGTATGACCTCCCGCGGCCCCCCTGCAGTACCCTCGCGGCCCACCAGGGGGCCGCGGACCCCACTTTGGGAGACACTGGTCTACAGTATGACTCAAATATTTCATGTATCTAAGAAAGAGTAGCCTAATTAATTATGTTAACCATGTGACTTTCTGTTGTAAATGCTAGTAAATGCTATTATAATCCAAAAAGCATTAGCTATAGCAAAGGCTGCTACTCTTACAAACAAGTAATTTTTACATATACAGTTGCTCTTTCGATAAATCATACTTACAACGTCGTTTGCTTAGATAATAAATGCTGCCAACCTGTGCCAAGCGCGCATGCGTTGAAGCTCGCGCGCTGCTGGTGGTCACACGTGGTCCAGGGAGGTAAGATCACGATGTATGGGCCGTGGTACTGGTGTTAACGATTGTTTGTCGTATTTTTATATGTAATTGCATATTTGCTCTTAAACCCTCATCACAGTATGTATAGTATATTGTCCTGGGCATGATGCAAGAACGCAAGCGTATTATTTCCTGTGACAACATGAATGTGCCTTTCCACATGGACCTGTAAAAACTTCTCTCGTGGAAAGGCTAAGCTGTTATTGAACATCGATTTTTAGTGAGAGTAAAAAATTTAGAGGTCAAAACTTCACAAACCAATTTTCTGTTCTAAGTGTTTTACTAACAACTCAATGTTTGGAAACCCTTTAGAGAAAGCCAAAGTGATAAGGGTTCCTTGGATGGTCCAATTATACATCAAGGGAAGTGTCAGGAGAAGGTAAACTAATGGAGCAGATGATAGGTTTAGGATTTTGGAAGAGGAAACTACCCTGAGGGAGCATGATTAGTGATGGATTAACCTGGGATGAGTGGCTGTAGGACAGGCAGGGGTGAGGAGCTCAGGGGCCCAGGAAGAGACATGGGGGGCCCCCTAATGGATATGTAGTATGTCAGACACACGCAGCATCAGCAGTGCAGGTATGTCTGTTATGTGGCCTACTGTAGCTCCATACTATGAGAAAACTAAAAGACTTGACCCGATTAACCCTGTTGTGCTGCTAGTGTCCTCTCTGTCCTGGGGTATGAGTAAATGCACCGGCCTTCTATAATGGATGACTGTTAACAGATTACCCCTAACAAAACAAATACCAATGTAGCAGATTCTCTGTGTTCCTGATGAAGCACATATTTTCCCGAATAAATTCTAACTTATTTGAGATGTTGCCAGAAACAATTCTCAGGCCTCTAGATTCCAGGAAAGCCTTCCCCTTCACCTTTCACCTTTCTCGCACTTTGTTCTTCCATCGCTCCAGACACCCTCTTAATCGGTTTACTGTCATTGCCCGTTAGTTCTGCAGATGCTGTGAATTCACCCAAATAATTGGGACAACTAAATAGTACGCACAGCACAATCTAAAATGTTTCCATTTTATATGGATTTGTTGCTTAGATGTGTCTATTAATTTCATACCTTTGTTCTTTTTCAGAACCTTCAGTCAACTGTTGAACCTTGGAATGGAACCATACATCCATGAATGGAACTCTACAGACCGAAGTACCAGAGGCAAAACATTGCTACTCTGGCTCTACCTAGTGGTGAGTAGGGATAACACTATGTTTATTATAAAAAAATAATTATGGTCTGTACAATTAAGTCTAACTATAAGTAAGTTTCTTAGACAACTTTAAACATAATTAAAGTATGCTTCTGCACTATCTGATGGAACAAAGAAGTTTACATTTGTGCCAGACCAAACACTCCAGAAAAAAACAAATTATCAGAATCAGAATCAGAATCAGAATCATTTTTATTGCCAACGTAAGTAACAGGAGGTCACAGACTTGGAAATTGCTTTGGCTCAGTGCAACAGTCAAAAAGATATAATAAAAATAAGAATAAAAAACACTTCTAAAGAATAAATTTAAATTTAAAATAGAGTTACAGTTACTATTTACAATATACAAGTGCACATGGTGCACACAATGTAAGGTGACAGCAGTACAGTGAAGTAAAGTGACGTATGATGGGCAGTAAAGTGACTTTATAAAGGGCGGGGGGACAGGTTACGAAGTGTTCAAGAGTCCAACAGCAGAGGGGAAGAAACTGTTCTTGTGGCGGGAGGTTCTAGTCCTGATGGACCGCAGCCTCCTGCCTGAGGGGAGTGGTTGGAATAGTCCATGTGCAGGGTGAGAGGGGTCGGCTGTGATACGACCAGCCCGGCCTCGAGCTCGGGCAACGTACAGGTCCTGCAGCGATGGAAGGCTGCGGCCGATCACTTCCTCTGCAGAGCGCACAATGCGCTGTAGTCTCTGTTTGTCCCTGACTGTGGCTCCAGCGAACCACACGGTGATGGAGGAGGTGAGGATGGACTCGATGATGGCCGTGTAGAACTGCACCAACATCTGTGCAGGCAGCTTGGCTTTCCTGAGCTGCCGCAGGAAGTACATCCTCTGCTGGGCAATGCAACGACTGACAAAGTCAAACATTTGGTTGTGAAAAATAACAACAATGTTTTCTTTCCCAGTATTTCAGTTAATAACTATTTGAAATATTATTATTTTAAAATCAGCAAATGTGTCCTTTTAATGTCCGGCGGCTAAGGAAATGAGTTCAACACATATGTATTCTTTTCTGTGGTCAGTGCTCCCTGAATGAATAATGCATGGAAATGTATAACTCTACTACTATTTTTTGTCAAACTTTCAAATAATTGTCAGACACTATATGTTTTACAACAGAACTGTTGCACTTTAAACTGTAATAGCTTTACTCAGTACAAATACACGCAAAATCTTCACACTACAACTTGCATGGAGTGTTCCTTTCCCACAGTAATAGTGAGTGGCATATCTTTTGATCTGTCTTAAACATAGTGGGAGGGCTGCAGAGGGGTCAACAGAGCAGAGCTGTTCTCATCCAGGTAAAGACCAAACAGCAGCAAAAGCCTTGAGGCCTGAATCCTCAATGAAGTCTGTGTTGGTAGTAGTTGGTTTGCGTCCCTCCCCCAGTCCTCTCCACGCGTTTGCCCCCGTCACTCGTGTTTTTATTTCATATTTCTAGACCATGTTCAGTCAGGAAAAGCTGTTGAGCGACATTTGAAAGTTGGTGAAGGTGCCCAGTCTTTTATGTCAGTGCGTGTAAGTCCATCTATAGGTTCACTCTTGATCTCGTGTGCAGTCACTGACCTTTGCATGATTCTTTTAAAAGATTTGGCTGACTGCATGTGACAGAGGCGAGTTTCATTTCCTACAGAAATCAATGTAATTAGTTGTGTAGAAGATTCACTTGTATACATTTTTCACTGGTCACACTGGACAAATTGCTTTTATTGTAGGATTAAGTTGTCAAATCAAGTTTGCATGTCAGACTTTAAAGCACGGCGGTTATAAGGAATGTCTGGAATCCCAACAACTATGTTGAGTGGACAGGGGACAATTAGGTCACAGGTAGATTTGGTTTCCACCTTGAGTCTGTTTAAAAAGGTCTGGTTCTCATGGTTAAAACAGGTGATTATGAGCACAATTGCCAACCTATTTAATGCATTGTTTGATTGATTTATTTATTCTAGCAGAGCAAAGGAATAAGAGATACATACTGGTAGTTTCAATTACATTATTTCCATTGGAATAATAATAATAGTAATGCCTTGGTTTTATATAGTGATTTTTTTTGGACACTCAAAGATGCTTCATATGTTATTATTCAATAACTCCATACAGTGTGGTGGTAAACTACTTCTGTAGCCACAGCTGCTCTGGGGCACACTGACAAAAGCGAGGCAACCAGTATGTGCCTCTTCACTCCAGCCACCACCAATCATTCACTCACACTCATATTAGGCAATGTGGGTAAAGTGTTTTGGCTAAGTAAGGACACAA